GGTCATGCACCCCTCCCCTTCATCCCCCTCCTTCACTTTATTTTCTTAATTTACTTAAATGTGAAGTTTTCTTTTTTGGGGAAAAAAAAAAAGCTTCATCCATGGATGAATGATTTTTTTATTTTTTTTGCTTGCTATGAAACAGCAAGATGAAAGTGCAAGTTAAGCAACCTTGTACAACCTTCTTACTGGTCTTGGGATTGCAATAGTTTAGAATTTCATATCCTAATTTCTGGATGTCCATCTCAGTGAAGTCTACAAGTTTCTCTATCGTATAACTTTAATCTGGCACAAATTTCAGGATCTCAGCTCTGTGAGATACACAGCTCCACTGTGTATCTATTAGATCTTCTGAGCAAAAATCAAAATTATCTTTTCAGCAAAATGAAATGCAAATATGGAGCTCCAAAGAAAATGAAAGTAGATCCATTTGTGCAGCAAAAACTATTGCTTGCATCAGCTATTGTAACTCTCTCATCCTTTCTTTGCAGACTGGCTATTTCTTGCTATGCTGTAGGCTTTGGATTGTTTTACATTCGTATCCTGTGCTTCAGGAAGTAGAAACTGACACAACAGCTTTAGAACAATTTCTGTATATGCTCACCTTTGATCAACAACACCCTCCTGCCCCCCCCATTTTATTGGTCAGTCAGTTAAAAACAATTATGAAGCTGTACTGAAAATATCTACAAGGAGTTTCTTTCACTGTTTCAGGCTCAGACTCTTAGGTTGTTGATCTGTTTTCTTTTTTGCAGTACTTAATGTAAGAAGGTCCTCGCTCATTGCTAGAGGACCAAGGCATTTCTGTCCTGTAATAAATTTTTATAAATGCACAGTTATCAATGGTAGTAGTAAAGATGTATTGTTAGACTGCCCACCAGCCTAAGCTCAGTAAGGGTCACTGCAGTCAGGGAAACTCAAGAAGTACTGCTTGAAAAACACATCTTTCCTTGGGATTTTTTAGTTTTCCATGCTCACTGAGGGTATGATGTAAACTATTTTATCTTCTTAAAATAACCCTGACTGCTGTTAAGATACTTCAGCCAGATATAGGGCTTTTAATTCCAAGTTTTGCAAACAGCAGATCAGCTCATCAGTATTTTCTTCACTGTTCAATGTTAAGATGCTTTCAGTATGAGAATGATTTATTTTTTTCTTTTTGGGAAGATAAATGTTGATACATCTTAAATCTTAGTGTATTCCCTTGATAGTATGATCTCTGTGTCTGACCTAAAGAATCAGATAGGCAGTAAATATTCTTGGAATGGCACTGCTTGACCCTTTTTCCAAATCTTAATGAATTTCCTAAATCTAGTGACACAAATTGTTTCACTACATGGATCTTACACTAAAAAGCAGCTAGTGTATAGAAAAGTCATTTTAAACCTGAGGCAGATTCGTCTTGCTGCAGACTGTTTCTTACCTTACAAAGTAGCTATGAAATTTATTTTCTTGAAGATAACCTTTATTTCATGTTACTTGTTTCTTCTTTCCTTTTTTTCCTCATTCCATTTCTACATGTAACTAAACATGCTTTCATTTCTGAGTTCAGCTGCTGATACCAACTGCATCAGTATGGTTTAAACTGAAATGCTTCTTAAAAAAAAAAAAATAAAGGAAGCCTTTTTCTTTTCCCACTCTATTCACCACTGAGAAAAAGATTCTTTACAAAAGTGGCTGGAGATAAAAATAGATAACCCAAAAGCTTGAGTTTGGAGATGTGGTTGTGTTCATCAAGGTAGAGATTTAAGAACAATTCAGTCTGAGCTGCAAAATCCCTGAAGGCTGAATTTGTCTTTTTTCAAGGCTGGCTGCCTTCATCTTGAATATTATTTGTGGAATATTGGGGGGGGGACGGGGGACATCACTTTCTACTGTGAAGTGTATTTGTAGGTTGAATTTGGATGTAGGACATTTTGATAGAAGTGAAAATTATGGGGTAATAGGGAAAAGCAAGCCCTTTGGGGTGGTAAGCAGAATTGGTCTTCCTGTTAAATGCTTCTTCCCTGAGGTCTTGACAAGGTGATGGCTTTTGGAAACCAGAGGTCCTCAGTATCATGTGTGTGCTGCATCAGGTGCCGTGGCTTCTGTCAGTCACTTGTGAGTTTGCCTTGCTTTCCGCAAACCATTGTAGATTATCATTGTCTGCTTTGTAGAAACTGGCTGAACGGACCTTTTAGGTTCCTAAGCATATGTCATCTTTCCGAGAAAATTAGATGGTACATATCCTTTCTGACCTTTGGCTTCTGCTAGCCACCATTCTTTATTGCCACTCAGGTCAGAAAACCGAAGTATCCTAACCTTCTGATACTCCTGAAGACTGAGTTCTTGATCACTTCTTGCTTGAAATGCATAAACAGCATAGAAGGTCTGAAAAAGGAAAGCCACAAAATGCAAAATCTGAATTCAGAAATGTAGCCACGTCTTAGCTGGCCATTGCATGTTAGTACAAGTTCTGTATGTACAATGTGTCTAATAACATGTATGTATATGGTCTGTAATTGCTTGTAACTGCATGGTCTGTAATTGCTTACAGTATACGAAGAACAGGGCCAAAGTAATAAGTAAAACTGAAGGGTCTTAGGAATTCTATGTAGGAAGGAACAAAATAAGCTCATCAAGAGAGCACTGTGCTGAAGTTTTCAGCTCAGATCGTGCAGCCTTGCATTGGCTGGAGAATTTACAAGGTTTCAAAGGAGAGAAAGACCTCGTCTAAATCTCTTACTCTTAAATATGGCAGCTGTTAGGATGGATCTCTCAAACCATCTTCTCAGCTGCCAGAGATCCTATCTGCAGTGATCTGGTCTGAAGATGGTAAAAATTTCAGACACCTCTGTGCCTTGCTGATCATCTTTGCTACAGCTGTCTTGTTAAAGGTAAGTGGAAAAATCCCCAAGCAGCTCAAATGAGAACTGTGAGACATTGTACATGTAGTGGTGTAATGCAAAGGTGTGTTTTCTGTGAGACAAGATTGAGATTTGCAGTTGAACTGATTATCTTTTACTGCTTTGTAGCTATTTAAAAAAGCCAAAGGACAGAGGATAGCAAATTCCCCATGTCATTCTGACAGATTAGTACAAGAATTTTCCAGTGCAAAAGGAACTATTTAAATTACAGCCATTACAACGGTGGATTTGAGATGAGAAAAATAAGAAGGGCTCAGCAGGTATCCTACTTACATGCTGATCATCCACATCCTGAGAATCTCCAGCCTCTGTGCTATTAGTTGTGGGATTTTTACAGGGGTGAAGAGATGAGTTGCTGTCACTCTTCTTGTGCCCTGAACTTGAGCTGCTGTCAGAGGATGGCCGTGAAGAGACAAAGAGGCTGATGTTATCAAAATCATCATCACACAAGTTGCTCTCTGCTATGTCCTTCTGTGCTTTGGCTGGATTGAAAGGCTTCAGGAAGGAGGAATACACATATCCCTTGAGGACTGGATATCACAGTAAAAAGACAGAATATTTAAAAAAAAAAAAAAAAAAAAAAGCTGTTAAACCATTTTATGCAGCTGTCAGTACAACATAAGCAGACAGATGGGGCCAGAATGAGAAGAAATCAATAGGAGGCTGTTATTGAGATGTTTGTGCAGAGAACTTACTTCCTGTGTCAACAAGCCATCTGCTAGTACTTTGGAAAGGATCCTTTTGCTCCACAACAGCCACCACTTCTCCTTCATGCAGATCAATATCAAATTCCTGCGTGGCATTGCACTTGCGCTTAGCTTGATACAGCACTTCTGCGCTGTACGTAGACAGCAGCTTGGACCTGTGGTCTTCTGTTTGACGTGGGGATTCGAGCTGAAAAGACTATAATAATTGTTCAGTAGGAATAATGTCGAGGCTGCTTGTTGAGCAGCACAGATGCACAAAAGGAACCAGCGTCCATTCTGCATGTGGCAACTGACTACGCTTCTACATCCAGATAAAGGAGTTACACAGCTGTATGTAACCAAATGCCCTTTGCACGTGCAGAAGGGGTCTGTCCAACTGCTGTGCTGATAGCTGACCAATAACAGGCAGATCTTGAAAGATATATAGGAGTATAACTAATTAAGTACTTAGCCAGTACTCTGTTCTCACAAGCCTGTGTTCTGTATGTGAACTGTCACTGCTTTAACTGTTTTTACAGAACTGTGATCTTTGAATTGCTCTGTGAAGTTGCAAAAAGTGTAATCAAAAATTATCAGAGGTGTTCTAAGGTTATGTAGCAACTTGCACAGCAAAGCACTGGAGCAGAAAATGAGTAGAAACAGAATAGTCTGCTTTTTGTACAAAATTCCCATGCTGTACATGGCAAGGTGCTATGAACTGCTGGAAGCGTGTTTGGTTAGAGGGCCAAAAGAGAGGGGCTGTACGTCCCTGTGACTTTAACACACTGTGATAGAAAGAGCACATGTTCCTGCCTCTCTGATGCAAAAATGAATCCTGCAGTTTCCTTGGCTTCTACTGAAATCTGACTTTGTGTGGTAGGGTTAAGTAGACCCTTTGAATGCTCTGTAAATGTCTGATAAGATTAGGAACTACAGACATGTGGATTCCTTAGTGGACTTTATGAATCTTCTGTTCTGGGGTATGTGTGTTAATTTGTGTATACATACAAATACACATAGAAAAGCCGGATAAGAAGTTCTGAATAAAAGATGTGCTGCAAGAGTTCTTAACAAGAGAAGCAATCCAATTTTACATATACAGCCGTAACGTGCACAAAGATCTAAGGATAATCAGAGGTGATCTCAAGTGGATTTCCAAGATAACACGAGTGTGAAGAGTCTTAAAAAGTTACCGGCCAATGGAACAGCTTCATTCACATAACACAATTCAGATTCCCAGTGAAGGGACAAAAGCCAGATCTCTGAATGATATAAACATGGATTTGTTTCAGAAGTGATCAGAAAAGGATTCTTTAAAGGACTCAGATGTACGATACTCACTGGAGAGGGGACAGGTTTCTTTTTTTCCAAGCTCAATTTTCTTTCAATGAAGGTTGCACTGCTGTTTTCTTTTACAAAATTCAGCTTGTGAACCTCCTCCATTAACTGATACTGCACTTCACAGATGCTTGAGGAAGACAGCTGCAAACATAAAGGTAGGTTAGATCTCATGAACAAAATGGTAACGAGATTTGAGACAGCATATTTGGCTTAATGGGCTCAACACTAGGCGTCAGAAATCTGACAAGGTACGGCTGTTTCCTGCAGAGCCTATAGTGTGCTAGGCACAAGACAAAAGAAAGATCTGTTTAAGAAAAGTAACTAATGATTGCTGTTAGATTTACAAGGCATACTGATTTAAGTTGAATCATTAAAAAAATTCTAAACAGCAACAAAAATGTAAATGAGCAGCTTTGCATTTATGGTACTGAGCCACCTGCTTTCAGATGCAAATGTACATCAGAGTGGCCCATGTGCTGCAAGACTTAACCCACAGCTGTGTTTCTGTGAAACTGTGCTGATGTGTTAAAGACACATGGATAAGCTGGCACTCTGTCTGAGGCACTGGGTGAGTGCTTTTGGTATGTGCCTAACTCCAAGTATGTTTGCTGATGTAAACAGGAAAAAAAAAAAGGGGGGGAGGGGGGGGATGGAATAATTAATTTTTTGGGAAAAGCATCATAGAAAACAGTGCTTGACGCTTGACAGAGCATATTCCAAAATACTTAATGGTCAAATTATAGGGATCAGATTTCTTCATGCAGAAAAGCCTTTATATTCTGTTTGAACAGTGCAGCTCTGTTTTGATCCTGATCTTTTCTCAATTTTTCAGCCCTTTCCGGCCTCTAAAGTCAGCTCTTGGTGGAAAGGGATATTCCAGAAGGGCCTCACTGCAACATATTTCTTATGCAGAATTTTGTCCAAACACAGTTGCCTAAACATGCCTCTGGTTCAGGTGAGTGGATTTGGAGGTATTGTCATAGCTCTGTTTCTCAGGTTGCGAGTCCTCCAGCGGAGTGAAACTTTGTGTAATTTTCACACAAATTAATAATACTTCCATAATCTTGAGGTAATGCTTACAGTGCATAGAAAGAGTTGAGTAGGCTGGAAGAACTGATGCTCTTATGTTAGCTCAAATAGGCATCCTTGTTGGCTGTGATTACGTAAGAGAAATTACTTTAACTTTCTAAAAATGCCAACACAGACAGAATTATACTTTATTGACTTGTCCTGCTGTGCAGGAGCTTCTGCAGCATATCTGGATTTAAAAGCAACTTGTTTTTCATATAAATTATTTCATCAGATCTCCTCAGCCTTATGCCTACAGGTTTCTGTGTGACTGCAGCTCTAACACTAGCAGGAGAGTTCATGCACTTTCCTAGAATTTCTCTTCCCGTGTCTTCTAGGCTGTTCAGGGCTGACCTAAAGAAACCAAGGCTTAAATACTAAGAACTGCCTCCATTTTGCCCTATTGTCTCTCCACTGATATTACTGGAGCAGCTGCATTATGGTCACTCTCAATAAAAGGTCCAAGACTGACAAAACTCAAGCTGAGAACTTAACCTTTGCTGTGCTTGCAAAGAAAAAAGAAAAAAAAAAAAAAAAAAAAAATTGACTGTGCTCACCAAAACAATCAAAATCGCAGTAGCTTTTAGGCATGTGTCCTACACATCCTACCCAATGCATACAGAAAGAAAAAAAGAGAGATAAATAGGGCTTATGCCTATTTATAATGTACTTACTGGAACAGGCACCACCACAGCAGAATTTGGTTGAAGTGCTGCAGACATAATACTTCTGAGGAGGGTAATGAAGCAGTACAGACAGTTCAACACAATCTTTTTGGCTGCTCTGTTGAATACCTGAAGTTCTTCCACTAGCTGTGCATTTAAAGCCTCATAGTCTTTCTTTGCTAGATCAAGCTCTTCTCCTGTTGACCTCTGGAGGTAGCTGTTGTAGTCCAACAATTTGTCATAGCGCTTCTGGATGAGCTTCTGTGGGCCTGAAAACAAGGCTTGTAGTGCTGAGAGAGGAGTCAAAACAACCTTGTCTAGCTGAGCCATCTGGAAAGATATAAAACAGTCCCACATGTTACTTCTTTCTCGCAACTCTTCAGACTTCAGGTTCAGCCTCATTGCAGCCCATCAAGCAATCTGTTATTGACCCTTCCCAAAGTATTGCTGTCAGGAGCAGCTTCACAGCACAGGGTATAGCATAAGTTAGAAATCTTTTGTAATGTTGCAAAGGAGGAGGTAACAGATTTGCAGCTTACAGTGTCTGATAATGGAAATGGCCCCCTGGAGCCCATAGCATATGTTACTGTCCTTTGTGATACCGTGGAGGAAAGACCAAGGCAAGGATCAGTGAAGGATAACCATGAGGACTGAAACTGAAGAGTAGGTGGATGTGCTTTTCAGTGCCTTGTGGTGCTGCACTCAAGTAAAACTGAGAGTTCAGCCAAATAAAATAAATAGCGGTAAATCAATTCCTGTTTAAGCAAACATAGACACTGATTAAAAAAAAAAAATCCTTCTTAGACATTCCTATTAGCCTCTAATCGTCTCAAAGCATTAACATTGCACTAAAAAAATATATTTTTGATAGTCACATGTTGTAATATAGCACAGACTTTTGATGAGTAAACCTCATCATCAAGTTAAAGCCTTTGGATGTTCTATGTGAAATAGCTTGTCGGATCAAGCGTGGGAATAAAAGCGCAGCCATCCCTCTTCCCCTCCGTAGCATGCCATGGTTGAGGGCACATCTTTTTTAGGACCAGGACCCAAGGCCAAGATGCTGTGCACTGGCTGCTAGCTTATGTCTTATTTCCACTTGAGAAACTAGGCTGTGTTTAGTGAAGCAGTTTTTGATGTGTTTCAAAAAAAAGCTTTTTCCAAACTGCTGCTCTTGATTTCCAGAAGTGAAGGGGCTACCTTGAATTTCTGCCCTAAAGTTTTCCCTAAAACACAAGAGAGGAAAATATCCATTACTGACAAATGCAGAAAGGGGGGAAAAAAAAAAAATTAACGTGAGCCTGTTGCTGAGATCTCCACTGATAACACACACACAGAAGGACGTGTAGACATCTGCTCACCATGCAAAGTGAGGACAACATTGTTGGTTTTTTTAAATATATATAGGATAAAGACTGTATGAAATGTAAGACAAAGAAGTAGAAAATAAGTAAACATAGTTATTAAAAATTTCCACAGTTAAATAATGTTCAGATGTTTTTTAAAATTATGTGGGACTTCAGGCCAGATGGGTCCTGAGGCAGTGGGAGTTATAAAGTGTCTTCCTGAAAAATGGTTTTATGTTTCACCTGCTGTGGACCTTCTGCTGCTGCTTTGCTGGTTCTGGAAGTGGGGTGGGGAAGGATGTCTTCCATACTGCACAGTCATCATTCGATGTGATAGAGGGGTCCCTTTTCCTCCCCTAATGTAGTCATTCATTTTCAAGTTATTGAAAAGGTATTTCTGATTATTAAGATTAAATTTTCAGTTTCTTTGTAAATTCTGGAACTACAAAGAAAAGGAAATTACACCATCTCACTTCCTGTCACCAGACTGAGGAAAGCATAAGAAAACCTCCAACTCTGAATGAACAACCACCAGGTTGAACTGTTTGAAGCAGCAGCCTGGCCCATTTTGAAGAGACATTTTAGTCTATCTTAGTAGAGTCAGATAGTAGAGTTCCTTTGGACCCTGAAAGTGAGAGACTGGTTAAAAAACTTGAAGTTTTTCAGAGTTGGGTTACTGTTTTTTAACCATTATAGGCTACATCCAGGTTGTTCACATTTTCCCTATACTAAGGACAGTAAGTTGCTTGGAAGGGTGATAATAGCTGCGATTTCCATGGATCTATGATCCCAGGAACTAATAGATCAGGACTATACAGCAAAGATTAAAAAAAAATAAAAAAAAAAAGTCACTGTAAGACTGTGAATATTGGTAAGGAAACTAGAAAAAACATAGATCTGCTGCTGCTGTCTAAAGCTCAGCAGAAGCATGCAAACTTAGCGCAGTGATTTTAGTTTAATCCTTACAAAGTTTTCTTTATTTTTTTAGGGAAAATACATTTTACTTGGACTAAATTTTCTAATTTCCTATAGCAACTTACACCAAGGAAACACTCATCTTTCCCAGTGGATTCCTAAGGGCTTTTTGCTCCTTCTTGCCCTGAGTCTTCCTCACATACGTGTGTTCTCTCAGTCACACTGTTATCTATGTAATGCTGGACATTGCATAAACTTACAAGGTCTTCGCAGACATTTGTAGGGTTGTTCATTTTCTCTGAGTTTTTGTTAGCTTCGTCATCTTTGTCTTGCAAGATTTCCTGAAGCCCAGTTATATTCTGTGCAGCCAGATGTATGGAATCCTAAACGAGGAGATGGTAGGAAGATGAAAATGGGTTATGATTTATTTAATGTGCAGCACCCGCTCATGCAGATACTGCAATAATATTGATGGAATCAGAAGTATTTTCCATCTCTCATACCTATTTGCTTTTTTCTGTGCAGTTTCCAGCCATTTGGGGGTTGTTTACTGTGAAAATATTTTCCTGTGTCTTACCTATTTTCAGTGTAAACTGTTACAGGATAAAGTTGTTAATGTTCAACTGAAAAAAGTTGTGCCCCAGATTGCATAAAACCATGTACCCACCTGTAGATGCTGTAAGGATAATGAAATGTTCTTCACACATGATTTCACAGTCTTCTCTAAGCTTCGAAACAACTTTTCTTCCTTATTGAATGTCTGATCTTTCACCTAAATCAGATGTTTTCACTGTTATTTTGGAGTCTGACTAATGAAAGAAATCTCTAGAGCTCTGCTGGAAAAACCTCAAGCCTTCCCTAAACTCCTCCCTTTGAAAACAGAACAGATTGGTCCCTAGTTCTCCCAAACTCTGATCTCAGTCCAAGAGAAGTCGAAGGCACTGGATAGCATGACAGAGATTTTAAGTTCTGCCAAACCTCGTGGAAGCAAGGCATTGCTTTATTATAAGCACATCCACATGAATAAATATAAATATATATATATATATATATATATATATATATATGTATGTATGTATATTTGCTGCATTTGGGAAACGATGGTGAAAATATGACATAAAATATGGTATCCTTTTACATCATGGCATTGTTTCCTTTGGTGCTCATGTGTGTAATGGAGAGATTTCTCCCAGGCAGGCTGTAGGTGGAGCTGTTACCTCTAGAGCAACGTCAGCTCTCCAGCTTGTAACCTCACCAGCTGGAAACAGGCTGCTTTTACTTTTTTAATGCTGTCTGTAGAAACCCTGAAAATACACTTATTTCTGCCTACCTTTTAGTTAAGGAATTTGAGAAATCTCAAGCCTGTTTTTTCTGGGGTTTTGCTGTAAGGGTCACAGCATGTTTCAGAGATGTGAATTGAAAACTTTCTTTAATTAAGCAAGAAAGAGGGCTGAATCTATAACATACATCTTGAGTCTAAGATGATTCTCAAATATTTTAAGCTCAATTAAAAAAAAAAAAAATAGAAAATGAACCTTGTTTAAAAAAAAAAAAAAAAAAAGAATCACCCTTCCTCTTAATCCCATTTAATTCTACATTTCTCTGAATTTATAGTGTTGACAGTGTTCCAGTCTGTCATGGGGTTTTGTGGGAAAACCAGCAAAAATACAGAAATTTCCACTGTGCAAATAAATGAGCAGGAAAAAAAGAAGTAAATGTGGGTAGTTTGCGTCAGAGAAAGGGGGGAAACCAACTGGTAAACAACAAAACAGGAAAAAATGGCATCGATCTTGTAAAGTCACATCTAGAAAGGCAAATGACCTTGTATAACCAGTAGGCTTGTGTAGAGATGTACCATTTTCAAGGTCAGTTATAATTGATTTTCTTTCAGATTCAGATTGCAGCTTCTCTGAAAATGTTTATCCTGGTAGTTTGAATTACTGCCTTGGAATTATGAAGGGGCATTTTGGTTTTGCCCACCTAGCACTCACTGGTTTTATCACAGAATTCTTTGCCTCTGGTAGTTTTGATGTTTACAGGTTCTTAGGCATGTAGAGGCAAAACCCTATGATCTTTACTAATTGGGACTATTAGTCATCTTCCTTAGAGGACTCAGAATGTGAAGGTTAGGATGGAGAGTGAGACGCCCAGAATGTATTCACAGTAACTATTGCCAGTCCAACCACAAAGAGCTGAAGCTGACTTTCACAAAAATACTGGTCACTTCCTCTCTGCTGAAGATCACAAGCTTGAGAAGCTCTTAGATAAAAGAGGAAAGGATAAAGAATACATTATCTTGTTTTCTATTTCAATCACAGAGATCTTTCCTGTCTTATGTGACACTCAGAAAATGACTTTATAAATGATGCAGGAAAAAAGCGACACCACAAACTGTTTTTCTAAAATGTTTTTAGAAACGCCTGTGCAAAAGCAGCACTGAAGCTGTCAATGCAAATCTGCAGTTGGGTGAGTTAAGTACCTGAGGTTCTCCCCCTGTCAGTATTTTCAGATGGCTGGTGACCCTCTTGGATTTCTTGCTAATGGAGTGAATATTCAGTCGAGAAAACTTTTCTTTCAGGGTTTCATCATCATCATTCCTCTTATACTTCAGCACTGCAGACAGAGAATTTCATGACACTAATAATCTGTATCCATGGGGCTTTTCATAGGAATGGGGGCACAAATACAAAACCGTTTGAGACCAGACACTTTGATGTCACTTGCTGTAATCTTGTGTCAAAATGCTTGAGATCATGAAAACCCCGTTATCAATGCTAGCCTTGAGAATATTGAAGCAAGACTTCAATGTGGCAAGTCTGTAAGAAACAGCACTATCACTGCATCTTAATTATTATTAGTGTTTGCAGCTGCATTACTGATGATGAACATGGGTATGACATGTATCCTTTTATCATTTTCATGTTCAGGGAATCTGCATCCTTTGGCAGGTAACACAGCTGGCTGAGGACAAGTGACATTAAGGCATCTTTTATTTTGCTGAAACCCGGTGTATTGCACAACTTAAGTAACACCAACGAAAACTGTTGTGGCATTATGACTGGAGTTGAAACCTCTCTTGTAACTGCCAGCCCAAACTGACAGAAAAATTCACTGTTTTTTTTTCCTTACCTAAATCTTTCCTCCTTTTGAGTTCATTGATGTTCACATTAATATTTTTCATAGCAGAAAGGGCCTCTTGTAGTGCTTTGTGGTCAGGGTGAGAAGCAGGAGTTGAATTCAACAGTTCATGGAGTAACAAGGGATATTTCATTACCCGCTGTACTGGCTTGATCATCAGGGATCCCATGTCCATTAGATTTGGCTTTCCTCTATAATTTATACCAAGAAAAAGTCAAATAAGGAGAAACTCCTTGAAGACAAAGACTTCTTCTATTTCTGTATAGTCATTGAAGCTGCTGCCTTTTATATCCTTCAGTTGAGCTTTCAACTACAGAAAATATCAAAACCAGAGCAGTGCTTTGCACTGAGTCATAGATATGCAATCACCACTTAAGTCAAAAAATAAGATACATCTGTCAGGAAACACGGGCTGTTGCAAATGAAACCATCCTCCTGCCCCCTCAATGAGAAGTACACAGCAGGTCTGAGTTTTCTGTATTTTCAGCAATTTGCCATATTGCTTAGACATCGGCTGTGAAACTGGCCCACTCAGTCTGAGGGGTGTGTATGGTGCAACTTGCACAGCACCCAAGAAGGGAGATGTAGGTGGAAGAGCAAATAACAGGAAGATTGAGAAATACAAGAAGTGGGGCTACTACATCCTGCTCTGGCCCCTAAGCCTTAAAATTGCAACATCTCCACATTGTGAAGTAACTGAGATGCCTGCTCACTGCTGCATCCCTTCTTGCAACACCTTTCAGTTTGCTAGTATAAGCTTTGGCATTCTTTACCTGCTGTTTTTCTGTGCTGGCTTCCAGGAGGTGACATCACACTACTGAGGCTTTGACAGCAGGACAGAGGTGTCCTTGTCTCTCCTCATGCTAGCATTCTGCTGAGCAAACCTGGGAATGCTGCAGCATCACCAGCGCTCCTGTGAACTACCCCAGACTCACAGGTGCCCCTTGGAACTGTGAGCGAGCTGGTGGGGATGGTCTGAGGCACTAGAGCAGAGCAATGCTTCCATCTGCATGCCCAAAAAGGCTGTTTTGGAGGGAAGGAGCTGATCTGACAATAACTGTGGAAAAGCTAATGCTAGGCAAAGAAGGATTTCTGAATGAGGAAAGGCAGAATAATAAAACATAGAAGGGAAGTACAAAAAGCAGAGAACATCCACTCAGATTTGCAGGCTGACATCTATTGTTTTGTGAGCAGGAAGAGCAGAAGAAGGGAAAAAAAGGCTTTCATTCCCACTTTTATATGTGTGAAAAGTACACCAACCAGTCCTTACTGCTGACTAATTAACTAACAGTTTGAATGCCTTTGAGAAGAGACATCTGCATATTTAAACCATCTCTCTTGCACAGACATTATCTGCGAAAAGTTCTGCATGAAAAAAATTAACAGTAGATGCCTTTTAAAGCTTCTTGATGTCCCCAAACCTTCTTATCATTTCAATCCCCCTCATTTCCCCCGCATCCTACATTAAATATATAGAGCTATTTTCCCTTCTTTCAGCTTCTGGCAGCAATAATGAAAAAAATCTTAAATTGTTATTGTTTTCTCTAAAAAGCCCCTTGAATGCAAATCTGTAGAAGCTGCCTCATGAATGGAAAAATCTTCAAGTATCTTCTCTTTATATAGTTGCACTTTGGACAGCTGCCCAAGTGATAAACAGCCCTCTGTTCACGTATCTGCATGACACAGTCTAGCAATATGGTTTGAGAGATAGTAGGTTTGTTGTAAGATAATGACTCCCTGGGGCCCTGAATGCCACAAAGTTCAACTCCTCTAATTCTCCCCAGCGAGATTATCTGCTGATCTCCACTCTCCCTGGATGAGTCCCATTTCCAGTGGGCCCAGCGAGCATGCACTCGGCAGCCAGGCAGGACGTGGCCCCGCCACGCGACTAAAACAGGCTTGTGACAGCCATTGTGCAGAGAATTAAGTTGATAATTCGTTTGCAATGCTGCTCTGCCTCTCCCCATTTTATCATGAATTTAGCAAGTATTCTAGGTTATAAGTAGCTGCACTAATCTCATCGCAGATTCTCAGTGTAGCTCTGCGGAGCATGCAGCTGGCTTAGCTGCAGTGAGCTTCATGGCATACCCTGCCTCCCTCCTTACAACAAAGCAAGACAGATCCCACCAGTTTAAAAAATACATGGTGGTGAGCTGTGCAAAGAGAGGGAACCCAGGGTTTAGTTTCGCACTTTTGCTGTCTAGCAGGTAAGTCCTGTGGTGAATGTGACAGCCAGTTTGGTATCGCAGGGCTGAGGATGGTGTTGTGTTCAGCTTGGCAGCTCTGAAATTGTGTGCACGCATCACAGGCTGCAGCACATCTCAAAGACTTGAGTTTTACAATTTACTATGTGTGAGCTCATATTAGCACAAAACAGGCCGGCAAATAATTCGCTGTGCTGTAAGGCTCTCATGCAAACCCAGGGATTTCACTGAGGCTGCATAGTTGTTAATCTAAGCAGAATCCAACCAGTGTAGTTGATAGCAATAAGCAGCTTTGTCTGATATGTGTATAATTGTTTTCTTGAATGAATGATCACACTTGAATGAAAAGCAACCTGGGAGATTGAAGGGAGTTATGCCATACTTTCCAACTCGAACACAGAGCAGACTGTGCAGACTTTCAGGTGCAGTTCTGCCCACGTTTTGCTTTGACTCCACAACATCTGAAGTGCAAGAGATGGCATTTCAGCATGCCCTGCCTGTGTGCCTGCAGGGTGAACACAAATGCCACCAAGTCATGCAAGGTAGCCAAGCACAGGGAGGGTTCTTGAGTGAACATCATTCCTTGTGCAGCTTTACAAGAGCTTGTTTCAGCTCAAGAAGTGTGCTGTATCCCACAGTACACTGTAAACTAAAGGAGAAAGCTGGGCATTAACTTCTGGGGGGGTAGTGCAAGGCAGAGCAGCCAGGCTTGTGTTATTTTTACACACTGCTCTCTCATGTTATCTTATTGTTACTCTGTGTATTTGGTGTTCCTCCTAGGACCTCTATCCCTTTTTGGAAAGGAGTATAGAATCTCCTTTATCAAAACCAATGCAAATAAAGTACTTTCAATCACCAAATAAACCTTGAAAACCCCAACCTAGGATTTCAACACGTAAATCCTTTGAAACCTATTTTACATTGACCTTATTTATGATGTCCAACTGACTAATTCTCTGATTTTACAGATGTTTCTCTTCTATCCACATAAAGCACACCTGCTTCTCTTTTAACGTTTCTGTCTGAGTTGTAATCATTTTCTTTGGTTCAGCTAATCCCTTCTCTTACCCCTTCCTGCAGGTGAATTTAGGATTTCATGTTGTATTCAACGATCCAGACCTGCTGGATGTCCAAAACCACAGCCCTGATAAACTCTCCCTTAAAGCTTTTCAAAAATGTCAGGTATCCAAGGCTGGGTGAGTATTCTGGCAAGGTGTTGCCAGACATTTGTTCTTTTCTGATGTTCCTACGGCCATTGTCAGAGGGAAGCTCCTCAGAAAGATGGATTTCTCGTATATTTAGGGCTACCAAAAGTGTCCTTACCTTAGAAATAGCTTTACCTATCAGCCTGGTGTGTACTGAGCAGGCCTACAGATGCATAATGCACAGCAATTGAAGAGTGCCTGGATTTTCAGATTTGACACTGCACTGTTGACAAGCACTGCTGAGGAGCTCAGAGCTCTCTAAGCACATTTATTAGACAATGAGGTGGTAGTAAAGGGCTCTGAATGAATTGGCATCCAAATTAAGTAGCTTCATAAACCACAAGTGTTGAAAGACATTGCAAAACCAGTGCAGTTAGTAATTAGAGAACCAGACAGGCTTAGAGAAATTAAAACCGAGAGTATTTTATCACATATGTCCTGGAGAACTCTATGCATTCTACAGATATTGCTTAGTGTTCTTAAAATTTCCACATGTACAGTTTTAAGATAAATAAAAGATATTTAAAAGATTATTTTACACATGAAAAAGACGTAGTACTTACTCTTCCTCGTACATCTTTCTGCAAAAGAAAAGGAACAAAAATATATATTAGTTCCTCCTAAAAGGACTTATATAGATCATGGGCCAGATTCTCAGATACACTTCGGTGACACAGAGCAGCTGTAACTGGCCAGTTAACTTAGGTTTATGGCTGCTGTGTGTCAGCAGAACTGCACAAAACAGCCAGAGGGTACCAATGAATCTGGCCCTACATCTTTTTGAAAGGACAGCCCCAAATGAGAAAGGATTGTCAGGAACCTGGATTTTGCCCAGCCTTCTCCTAACTCTGTTAGAGAAGACAGCTTGAGTCACTGTGCTAGCAACATCAAATCCTTAGCACAAAGAGCAAAATTGAATGTCATTCCTACATTATTTTTGTGTGAAAAAGAATACATTGTAGACTTTTAGGATAGAGAATCAATTAAGTTGTTCAACTTTTGAGAGGCTATTTATCAACCGAAACCTCTTCAGAGTAGGATACTGTTGATATGCATACAGAAAGCAGCAGAGATGTACTGTTGTTTTTTGGAAACATGCAAACATGCACACAGAATATTTTCCTCATGCTACAATTAAACTTGGAGAGCTTCACCCAAATGCAAGGGAACTAGCATCAAATGGGGAGGTTGGTGGCCCTGCATGTGGCAGGGGGATTGGAGATTCATGATCCTAAGGTCTCTTCCAACCCTGGCCATTCTGTGATTCTCTGATTCTGTGGAATGACGATGTCCCTCCACCTCCGCATGAGACTCTTCTGGTATTGAGTGCTGACATCATGTAATCAGCCACTGCTTTCTGACCACCTGCACTTTCATCTCCTATCAGCAGCCAAAGGAGCATCTGGAAGCTGGTGTTTTCATTGCTTCAGCACCATCAGCTCTTTGAGTACTTCTGACGTCCCTCTGCCCCCGTAATAGTTGACCAAGATACTTCAGACTGAAAGCACAGCAGGTAGTTGCCAGCATCCTTTCATTTTTACCAGCTGCATTTCTTTGGCTAAGCTAGCAAACAACATTCCCATTTTGCATAATCACTGCTGAAACATGGCTTTCTACATAATTTGGATTTGCACGTCTCCATGCAGACACCTACATTTTGGGATGGAATTTCTCCCCTTTAGTCAACAGGAGGCGTAGGAATCTAAGTATGGCTAATTAAATCTGATTTGTTTGTACAGATGTGCAGAGGGCTACTTGCAAATTCATCTTAATACAGAAGTTGTTTTTTACAAGGCAGATATTACTCAACTGAGGAACAGAAGTCTCTTGCTAGACCTCTTTTTTCTTTTTTTTTTTCTTTTTTTTTTTTCCCCCCAATGTAATAGTATTCTTCCCAAGGAAAAAAGAAAAGATGTAAGAAGTAAAGAGCTTTGAAGAATAATAGTCACTGGCCCCCATATATTATATCTCGCAATATAAAACAGTCTGTAACTTATTTGGTAAAATTCATACATAATTTTCTTCCTAGGACAAGTGCTCTCTCATCAGAAGTAAAAAGTTTAGGTGACCACAACTGTGCATTTGAGTGTGCACTTTCAAGTCTTAATATTTGAACTGGCTGCTATTTCTAGCCACTGGGAGAAAAGCGCAACATAGTATACGTGAAATGGCATATACTTTCCATCTCCTAACACATCTCTGCTGACTGATCACTAGCTTGGGTATAATTGAAATGTCTGTTGCTGATGTACACTCCATTAATTAGTTGTGATAGCTTTGCATTCCTTGTGGAAGTGCGCAGCACGAGCCTTTTCTGGAGCTGGAGGGAGACCTATGGTCTGAAGGTATGCACTCTGCTGACAGCTCTGTGCAAGATTTTTGAGAAAGTGAGGGAATAAGGGAGCTCGCAAGTGAAGAGAAGCGCTCCTCATAGAGAAGGTGAACTGGTTCTCAGGATGTGGGAAGAAGACATGCTGGAGGAGAGAGCCATTTTTCTGCTGCATCCCCAGTACGTTTCCCCCAGGGGATGGTGCTGGAGGCAGTGGCATGAAGGAAATTCCACTGGTGGAACCTGACAGCTTGTTTCAACATAGGCCAATTTCAAATATCCTCATCATGAGGTGCTGGGCATAGCTGCAGATCTCTGGGGCCTTACAGTGGGGGTCCAGAAACACCAGTATGTGTGAATGATTCCACTGTGTGCCATTTTAATCCAGGCAATAGAATCGCTGAAAATGGGGCCGGTGTGTTTCCTAGGAGCTGGGCAAGGGTGTTCCCAGCAGCCCATTATATGATGCAGCATTTCTTCTGCCAGTATGGGGCACTGAAGCTAAGGGAAGAGAAATCTTTCTTGTGCTATTTTTGGCCATCTTAGAGAGAAAGAAATCTAATCATGGCCCCTGGCTTGTCATCTTTTCATGAAAGCAGCATAAGCCAGAGCTTCCAGCAAGCCTCATAAAACTCTGGATTTACAGGGGACCTTTCATCTGCATCCATTTAAAATGTTCCCTGCCAGGCAACTGACTATGGACGGAAATCATCATTTGAAAAGATCTTACTTTAAGGACTGTACACAGTGTCTTAAATGCTGCTTCAGTTCTTCATCCTTTTCATAGGATTCGAGCAAGGTGTGTGCATCATCGTGGCGATAGCAATAGATTTTATATGTGTCTTCTAGTGGGCCTTTAATTTGCAAAAACACTTCCCCTGTTAAAGAGAAAAACAAAGCATGTCAACCCAGACAACAGCATCTCAGAAGGAGTTTTATTATTCCACCACATTAGCTGTGAGCTAAAAGGGCTGCTTTCCACTTTACTTCCCTTAGAAATGATCTTGTGTGTTTACGTGCATTATTTATTACATGTATTTCTCAGCTGCTCATCTTTGTCACAGCCAGGTACCATTATACCAGTGTTAATGCACAAAAATTCCCCAGAGAACAGGGACAAAATCTCTACACCTGCACCCCTGCATATACAATCCCCTACTTCACTGCCACACGGTAACACTCCTGCAGTGAGAACCAAACAGGAGAGCTCTGCTGCTAAGGAGAGACTATGCTGGCCCTCTGGGCTGGCAGGAGAAACAAGTGTAAGGATATTCATTTTCCTTTTGACTTTTTTTTTTCAGCTGGATATGAACTTAAATGGGTTATAACAGGAATAATGACTCCATCTCCCATTAGCCATTTCATGTTTATCTGTTTTGCAGCATCCTGAAATGGCAGTTGTTAAGGCCTAGAATGGGGAATCTTCCTCACATGACAGAGGAATAATCTTCACCTTTTCCTCTAATGAATTAAAACCACTGTGGATTGCAGGCATTTCTGTACAGAATGAAAGGGAAAAATATTTACAGTTCTGATCCTTTGTTGCATTGTTTTTCCTGAAAAACAGTTGGGAATTTTAGAGGCATTGAGTTAGTCCTGCACCCATTTCCCATCTAAGTTTGGTGCACATTTCTCTCAGCTGGTAACTCCTATGCTGCTTTCTGTGTATTATCCAGGCAGAGAAAGCATGCTTCATCTCTTCTGCTGAGATATTCATTAGTTCTCACACCCTAATATAGCAGCATCCTGATCAGCATCCTTGGAAATGCACATAATAAACAATAGCAATGGTGAAAATTACTGTCTCAGGCATTTATAGAAAAATTACATCTACGTGGCAACCAGTCAGATGTTTTATAAACACTCTTGTTGAGTTATAGCCATGATTATTAAAGTTAAAAGCTGAGCACCACGTTAATTGGGAGCTCTATTCATTCACAGAGTGAGCACAAAGCTGTCAGGCATCCTGCCGCTTTCATCCTGACCGAAGTCGGCTGTTTCATAATACATTGCATTGAACTGCTCTGTCTTAGAGTGAAAAATGATTCAGTTACCACAGTAACACAGCTCTGGGTTTCTTCCCTAGCAGAGAAGGTTAACTGGGCTGTCTAATGCATGTTGGTTTCAAGGTGCGAACAAGGGAACAACAGCAACCGAGTTAAGAACACAGAAGTTTCGTTTTAGTTACTGTAAGGGCCACAGTCAGAAAAGCACCTGCATCCTAAAGCTGCATCCTCTTTGGGTGCTGTCATCTCTGTTTTCTCTGTCTTTTGCTAAATGTAGTGCAGATAGCTAACAACACACAACTGCATTCTGACTTCCCTGTAAACTCTATACAGGGCCTTATTCAGCCAACAAGCATAACAAGCTTTCTCCTGATCCCGTGCCCTTGGCAGAGATGCTGAACTCTCACACTTAACTTTAAGCAGAGTGCTTAGCACAGCCCATAGTACATGGAGCTCTTAAGAGAGATAATGTTTTCTGCAGCAAAAAAATGCAAACTATACACTTAGCTTCCCTTCAGCATATACTGGAGCCTGGAAATAGTCATTCTCTCCTCCAGAATGGAAAAGATGAGAATTCGTTGGTGTATTGTGCCATAATGATAGATACTTTCATTTATGATAAAATAATGAGAAAAATGATGCGCTTATTTCACAGATGGGATCTTTTAAAAGCAGTTGGGGTCCTTAAGCCTGAATTTCTTCTTGGTTCTGGGATGTATAAGTCGAGTCAGTTGAGCTCTGAGCATATCACTGAGATAACTTGCTTTATGGAGCAAAAATGCATCATATTTGTCACAGGTTTATAAATAATGAGTATTTTGAGCATTCTGACAGATCAACATCTGCCTGATCTGCCTCTTCTTGAGTGTAGTGGTCAGACAGTCTCGAAGAGGCAATCTTGGGAGGAAGGCTTCAGTGGCAGCAACACTTTCTCCTTACAGCTTTCAGTGATGCTTCCTGTGTGAACAGCAGTGGGAGAGGGAGGAAGAAAGGGCCCAATATTTAAAGGCAGAGTAAAATTACTAAGTCTTCATATTCCTCTATGTACAGCAACCAGATCACAGAGGAGAAAAAACACAAGGGAGAACTAGAAAGATCATTTGTCTTCTACTGCTTTTAGCTTCAGAAGACCAACCACCAAAGCTACATTAGCATTTTAGCACAGATTAGGAGGGGGCTTTTAAAGCCAGTCTCTCACTGTGCCTCATCTCCCATGACTTGGCTGTGTGGAGAAACAGTTAACAGACACATAGACTAGATCCTTTTGAGTGGTAATTACCAGAAGATATACTCTTAGGGCACAGCATGAAGTGTACCTCTCAATCTACAGGAATAGGCTAAAGTTAATCTGAAATAAGACATCTTGAAATCTGTATATACCAGGACCTCAGTACCAACTGTTCTGTTATACGAGTCTGAATCTACGGGCACTACAACTTGTCAATGTAAGTATAGCCCAAGATGTGGAGACTAAAATTAGGCATCAATACAAGTAACTACATAATTTTGGTTTCTAATTCGTGAAACAGCAGTTCTCCTCAGCCTCACTATATGGAACTGCTGAATCACAGCCTGAACCTCTGATTGATCACCTGAGGCGAGCAGTGAGTCAGCCATGGGAGCACAGGTGAAGGCAATTCACCTGTGCTGCCAGAAGGGATGGAGCCTGGCTGCACCCCTCCTAGACCTATTTAAGAGCTGGCTGCCAGTGGGAAAGGATCTGTTCTGGAGGTCTGCTCTGCTGGAGTTTTGTAAGTGAGCCCAGAATACAGGTAAGTGCCCTTTCTTTTCTGCTTTGGTATAGTAACTATGTAGCCAAGCTCTCTGGTATACTTCATAGCTATAGCATCTGTACACTCACTGTGGCTAGGTTTCCTTCCAAAGGCAGATATTTGAATGGAAGATGTTTAAATAGCACAAACACAATAGGATATGATGGGTGTGCTAGGTATTTTCTCATCCTACAGAAAAAGACTGGCTTTAACAACTTTTACAATGAATATGAGGAAGGATTCTGAAGGCACAACTATCTATCCCTTCTTTGTTTGAAGGTGAAATACTTAGTAACTTATTGTTTACAATGATGCAATTATTCTCCCTGCTTTAGGCTCAGTCTCTAGAAGAATTGCTCTCATCTTATGTTCCATCTTTTTCTCTGCCATAATTTAGCCGACTTTCTGTTCCAATATCCTATACGTTCTGATGGTCCTTTGTCTGATTCTGGAGAAATACACCATACCAAACTGATTCAATTATTTGTCCTTACTTCTGGATATGGCAGCAGACTGAAAGAGTGATTCTCCTTGCAGTTGAGAAAGCCACTTCCTGCTAGAATAGAACATTGCTTATTAAGGGTATGACTCATCATGATGCACTTTTATTGAAATACTGCCAAATAACGCAGTTTCATCAAACTACGTTAAGCTGTTGCCTTGGCAAACCAGATTGAGACATGCTAGGATTAATACCTTTTCCCAAGCTTTAATGTTGTGTTCTCTAGCCAAAGGGTAACTGACAATTTTTTTACCCTGTTGTATTTCAGGAAGATGGTTCTTTTTATAACAAGTTACCTGTGGTACATGGTCAGTATAGTGAAAAAATAACCCTTCTGACCTCTGAATCATAGCTGAAAGTTTTTTAAACTAAACTTGCTAACTTTGCACTCCAGCAAATTATTATTTCTCACTTGATTTCTTCAGCTGGATCACCTACCACTTCTGCACTGAATAAGCAATTACAGAAGAGCTGATGAATGGAAACTTCTTAAATCTCTCCACCTGTGCCAGAATGTCAAGTGAATAGATTCCAGCCATAACATTTATGGCTTGAGCTACTGAGTGTATGATTGCTGTGATATATCCAGGGGCAACCTATTTGCTAAAAATACTCATGATTCCTACACAGAAAAGCTCCATATTGATTACTGCTTTCTTTCTTTTACTGACCATGTCCCTGTTAATCACCTTTTACATTAGTTGTATTGCCAGTAAATATGTTTATGATGTTTGGGTAGGTTTTCTGTGATATTTTTAATATTCTAACAAATCTTAATGCATTTCTCAAGTGGCACAGGTATGAACATGCAATATAAAAGTTGGTTTAAGCATAAGCAGTTAGGTAGGTAATACTGAACTAGATGAAAATGATGTTATCATAGCGTAACTCAAGTGTTGCAGTTTTCATTCATGATAAGCTTACTCTCTCCCTTTCTCCTTCCCTTCAACATCCAGAGGAGCAAGCACCATGATCAAGCCTGACATGAGCTCAGCAGAGCCACTGGACAGGTTTCACATCTCCTTTTTCCTTTATTACTGTGGACAGCTTGTAGCACATTACTCTCTGAGAGTGGTGCCGGTTTAGTGTGATGAAGATATAGGACAGGAAAATGTTATGTTTATTCTTTCACGTGGCTTTGTAGAACTCAAGAGGACAGTAAACATACCGATTACTTGCATGGGTGGTTCCACATCTGTTGTGGCTTCTTCCAGCAGTGACAGCAGCTTGGCTGATATCTGATGGACCGATTCGATGTTGCTAAACAAGCCATCCACATCAAAGCGGGCGATCTAGTGGAATACAAATATTAAGCAGCTTCTGAGGAACGATAAAGAAGGACATTGTATTTTAATTGTATTTTACAGACCTTCTCTTAATAAGGCTTTCGTATTCAGCATTCCAGGAAGCATAATTACTGCAAAATGTAATATAAACATCCTCCTCGTGACTTTTGGGATGCATACAGTTTTCAGATCAGTAGAATTGGGTTGACACAGTTAACAAAGGGCGTTTTATCAAGTGATTTTAATGCTATTTTGAACTACTGGTTCCTAATCTGAAAGTGTTTATGTAGGAAGGAAATTATATTATCATTTGAATGAAGAAAAGTTATTTATCTGGCTTTAAAATGTTGATTTTCCCATTGAGAAGAAGAATAGTTGGCAGGGGATTTGATTCCTTGTTTTCCAGTTGTTCGTGGAAGCTGCTATGTGAACTGGGACCTTGGTGCTTTAGTGCCAGCCATGAGGTACGAAGGCTTTCAAATGATGGTACCATTTTAAGTTAGTTGTCCTGTAAATCTGAAGAGTGCAATCAAGGTCCTACAATTACCACTAAAACTAACGTTTTAAAATTCTGGGTATTAATATAATCAAAGGCAGAGACCAGGAGCACAGCACTGACTTCAGTGAACTGGTTCAATTTACATCAGCAAAAAACTTGCCTCGGTATCATATTGTCTCCCTTACTCACATTAAACACAAAATGTTCAGGACACGTGCTTTTCATACAACATACTCCCTTGTGCAGCTGTGTGATAGTTAATATTAGGGATAACTGGGGATAGCCAGTGGTGACATGTTAACACTGAGAACAAAAACAAGACTGATTTGACATCTATATCTGTACCCACTGAACATCCCACTCCATTAGAAACAGAACTGCTTACTTGCATAGCAGCTCTCCAGATGCTGAGAGGATCAAATTGCATGCTGCTGTAGCTGAATCAGCAACATACTTTGAGTTCTATCGTAGTTAATTTTTAAAATAATTATTATAGGGCTTAAACTTTTTTTATCCATTTAGAAATATGAAACAGATCCATTCCTAGGTCAATTTTCTAAATGTTATCCTTCTTTAAGCATACTACAAACTTTCAAATATAGTAGTTTTTCTGAGAAGTTGACTTCATACAGTATTTTGAAAGCTTTTCAGAAATTGCAGGGGTTATTATGTTAGTTATAATCTCTACTTTTCTTCTGTATTCATCTGTCATTGGACTTCTGATCTCCACTGCAGCACAATCCCTACATTGCTTTTTGGAACTGTGTCATGACTAGACACATATGGTAACATGGTGACAAAGGACAGAATCAAAACATATGTTTTCAGTTGGTTGGATAAGAGCAGAAGAATACAGCATGTTTGTTAAAAATCTCAGTAAGTTTGAGCACAGAGTGCCCTCACTGGGTACTTGTTGGGAGCCAGCAGAGACTACTCCAGAGCAGATGAACAACTGAGAGGAGAAAGGAGTCAAGAACTGCTTGAAGTTGAAGCAGCAGATGCCAGCTCTTCTGAAAATGGATTGGAACAAATTCTGACAGCTTTAGGAAACAAAGGGGTGGTCCTGCAGGATTTTAAACTACATGGGCTTCAGTGGCCGCAGTTCCCTGAGGAGGCAGTGTCTTCATCTCCAATACTCCTATTCTGTGAGCAGTTGTTGGAATCATATGTACGGAACAAAGGCTTATGGTCTGTTTAAAATCATTTCTATGCTGTATTAGCAGCAGATACCATTTGTGCAGCTTCTGTGAATGCTGTGTTGCAAGCCCCACGAATTTAAGTCCTCTGGACAAGCTCTTCTATTCCCAGCTTGAGACTGCGTAATGTTTTTTTTAGAAATTGAAATATTGTTGAGGAAAAGGTGCTCTTTGAAGTCCCAGCTGAAAAGGAAACTGAGTATCATTGGCCTAATAAGATCTTTTGCCTGTAAGATAGCTTATGAGCCTTCCTTCCTCAATTTAACCTTTCTGTGAGGAATGCAGATTTCCAAGGCGCTCACTGGGCTGTCTGTCATGCATGGTGTCTCTCAGTTATCAGAGAAGCTAGTTAAAGTAATTTTTAAGACGGAACTTAACCCTGATGAGAAGGTTAATGCCATTCCAGGCTGTTGCCATGGAAAATATTTCTTCTTATTGTTTTTTGTTTTGTTTTTTTTTTTTTTTTACTGCTTTTAGAGGTGCCAGTAAAGGTCTGCTGGGGCATGTGCCAGTGGTTATGTGCACAGCAAAATGGATAGAGGAAGCTGCCACTGCAGCCTAAGCCTGGGAGCAGGCAAGCACCTCAACACAAAGGTTTTACACACTTGCAATGACAAGGACCAGAAGTGTACCTGACTTCCCACTTTCCTCACTACAGTCCTGGCACATCTGCCTTCTGGAAAGCCAGCTCAGGCACCATGCAACCCTTCTGTGCTTGCTTTAAGACTATCTGCAAACAGAGCGTAGGTGAATTCAGATCTTGACGTCACCCCCAGGTTCTCCACCCTTGGCAACTTACCTGCTTGTTTCTCAGAGGCTGAATCACTTCCTTGATGCAGAGATCCAGGTCGTTGATGTAGTCCCTCTCTGTCTGCATGAGCTCTGCAATGATTTTTACCCTCTTGGCCATCATGCGTTTGGTGGTTTCCTCATCCTCCTGTGGCAAGGTGGCAGAGGATGTGAATCCTGACTGTGGGGCCATTTTTTCTGTTTAAAAGAGTATTGAGGGAGGTCTGTAAGGAACATCATCATTTCATTGTCCCGAACATGCTTCCTCTACTGCTTGAAACACAAAGACCCCAGATGCTCTCAGTGCCTTCCCCACTGAATGCAGTCCTACATCACACTGAAATCCAAATACAACTGATGCCCCCTAAAACCATAGTCTCAGGCTGAAGTCTATTAAGATTTGGTGAAGGATGAAAACCTTCCTGTGGTAGGAAAAGACTGGGTAAATTATTGTAAATTTCACTGGAATAACCATTGTTCTGTACGATGTATTACTGAAGTCTGTTCATGGGTCTGCAGGTACGGATGATGATGAAATCTGTAGTTCTGCTAAAAGAATTCTTTTAAGAAGGCAAAGGAATTACGGGAGAGTATGGGAAAATCTTCAGTGATCAATAACAAACACTTCTTGTGACAACAGAGGTCACTGGGGCCATGAGATTCTTATCTACTTTTCCACATTTAAAACCTAACCTGCTTAATTTGTTCCAAATACATGGAAATGCATGGGAATCTTGTGCAGACAGGTAATTTATGTATGCTACAGGATCTGCACATAACCTGCTTATCTGTAATGATGGCTTTCCCTTTGGCTGGTTCTGAAGGCAACCTGCAGGCACTCACGGTAGCTACACAGTGGGCACAGAATTTTGTCAGTGTATTCTGACAGTCTGTATTTTTCTTTAGGGAAAACACAGGTGGAAAAAGTGGAAGGTTTCGGAGAGTATTCTGGTGTTTTCCTGCCAGCCACAAGATGGTGCAGGGTACCAGCAAAGGCAGACGGATCATTACTGTGCTCATCTCTGCATTACCCAGGTTGTGGCTTGACAGCATCGGATTTTCTTGCTCAGCGGCAAAGGACGGGATTCTCTGCTGAGGATCAGGCTGTTATGCTTTGATGTCAGCTCCTTGTAGGAAGTGTACCGTATAATGAGCCACAAGCAAGCAGGATCTGATGCCTTGCTGGCTGATAACCAATACTGAATAGATTGCTGTTGTTTGAGTTGATTGTTGAGGGTGAGGTCACAAGCACTCAAGTGAGCATCAAATGGAGCCCAGCAGGTCGATGCTGCAGATGATAACCTGGAGTTGGACTTGTGAGAAAGCCAGGAAACCTTCTGGAGAGAGGACTTGGAGCTGTCTTCCGCCAAGAGTTGTAAAATCTTACAAATGCAATGCATCATCAGCCTCAGGCCATTCTACAATTATGCTGATGGCTGATATTCGGAAAGGATGTTTTTGTTACTAATCCTTCTAGTCAAACTGATGTGACCACAGCTTGATTTAAATAACTGCACTGGGGACAGCACCTCTGCTTCTGTCCTGGTAGTTTTCAACAGGGAGATCAAGGAGCCTGAACAAAGCTGGGGTGAGCTGCTTTTCCAGTTTTTTTTTTCCTATTTTCTATTTCAATGTACTTCCCTTCTCTAAAGCAAATCTTCTTTCTACCATTGAGTCTTAGTATTTACATATCTTTATAACACAGGCATAAACATTTTGTCCTAGTCCTAGCATTCCAGACAATGGAATGGAATGGAAAAAAGAGCAGGATATCTCCCTCTTCAAGGCCTTGGACCTTGAAAAAACTTTAGCTGAATTCTCCCCTAGAGAGACGCTGCTTGTGAGTGTATGTCTTGCATGGATATTCACCCCCAAAGGTGCAAAGTGCTGAAAGAAATGGACTCAGTCCTTACTTCAGTGTGGAGAGCAGAAAAATATTTTGGTACTTGTTCATGGCTTCTTCTGAGCCATTGCCTGCTAGGGATGTGGAATGAGATCCTCCCTACAGCTGGTAGTAACCACAATCACAAATTTGCAAGGAACCACACACAATCAAATTTAATTCTAGTCTTGCACCAAAACCAGCATTCCTCTTGAAATCAGGTGTGAAATAGTTTGTATGTGTGTGATTGAATGTGAGAGTTCAGGAGCAAGGTCTTAGAAATGTTTTGTCTTAGATGCAGTACCACCTGAAGGTGAACACAAGGTGCTCTGCAGAAGAACTTCTCCATCTTTTATAGTAGTGGCAGGGATGGCATTACAGGAACAAAACAAAGGCACTGTATCCCATGTCAGGCTCAAAATCGCGATCCCAAGAGAAGTTGTTTTTGGTGTGTGTTTTTTTTTTGTTTTTTTATGGTTTTTTTTTTTTTTTTTTTCCAGTTTATGCCATTAGGTCACCCTGATCAAATTTGGTTCAGGAATTATGTCAGGGCTAATCTATTATCCTTATTTCATGATAGGTAATAATGCCAGAAAATAAAAACTATTCTCAACACAAAGAAATAACAGTGAGAAATAGCAGGTAGATGCTGTTTCCTTACAGAAAACATGTTTTTTAACAAAAGTACCTTTTTTTTTTTTTTTTTTTTTTTTTACTAGTAATATAGTTTTTCATTTCCACTCAATGCACTCACATTTTCATTTTAGACATGTCTGTCTCTGTAGAATGCAAGAGCAAGATACTGAGATTATAATTACAGCCAAAACCTGTGATTTTACGTTCAGCTGATAGCTTTTGACCAGTTTAAGCACATTAGTAGCCTGCTGAAATCCTTGCAGAGTAAGTGAAAGTTTATTGAATGCACAAACAGTAAGTGAACATTTGGAATACAGGCAGACTTGTTTCTGCCTGGTAATGTGTACCAGTCCTGGAACAGTTCAGAGGGAGGACTGGCAGGAAGAGGCATTGCTGAGAATTAACAATTATAGTAAGAATTCAGCTCATTCATCCTTGGAAGTGACAGGTGTAAAAGAAAAAAATGGTCTCTCTTGAATGGTTTATTGCACAAGTATTTCTTAAGACATATGCCATGGTAATTGTTACTTTTAGTAGATATAAAAATGTAAAGTGGAAGGCAGCATTTGCAATTGTTGCTTTGCATGGCCAGTTATCTGCAGGAGCTGCCTTTCTGGAAGACTTTGCATTGGTGAGGGAGCTTATGACTTTGGTTTTGAGTCATGGAAGTGCACAGCTCTACTCACAGGACAAGAGAAGCTCGGTGTGCAATGCCACAGACAAAGCCAGCATATGCAGCAGAAGCAGTTTCTTGCAAGTCTGAAGACTAATATCATCCCTTGGCTGGAGGTAATCCAGTGAAGCTGGGAGACCAGCAGTGCACAAATAAAGCATCTCCCAGGCACGTGGATAGACTGCAGAAGCAGTTGGGGCAGGTTTATAAGATAGATGCTTGCAAATTTCCCAGGCTTTCTGCCCTATAGAGAGCAGCTCCCAGAGGTCTGGTCCAGCCCTCATTCCCCTGGGTGAAATGATCAAGGTGGATGCTAAGTTTGCCATCGGGGCTTGGACGGAGGCTGCTCTGCACCTAAAGCTTTTCATCTGGAAGTGAAGGTAGAGGCACGGAATATAGTAACAAGTACAACATCAATGCATGAAGGGGGCAAGAGACATTTTTTCTTGCTCAGGTGCCATTTGGAGGACTCCGAAGTAAGCCCAGCTCTCACATCGTGCAGGTGAGAGAATTTTTCCTGGCACAAGGCATAAGTTATCAAGGAACAGCAAACAAATTACAGCATTACTGTATTTTCACAAGTGAAACTTGAACCTCATGCCACTTGAGATAAAATTATTCTCTGTGAAAGCAAGCCCTCAGATAGCCTGTACCCTCAGATAACCCAGAGACTGTACACAGGAATCTACACCACATTTATCAGTTGGATTTGCAAGTGAGACATAGGCAGATTAGGCATGGAAATACAAGAAGGATCGAGAAGGGCTTGTAGAAAATGCCATTTTTTCCCCTCACGCACGTATATGCTGGCAACATTATTTACGAGCAGGTTTGTTGCATGGCTGTTACAGATGCAAAATGCTCCATGATGGAACATGGAGGAGAGTGCTGTGGAACTGGTATGACCTTGAAGCAGGCTTCCAGGGCAACAGGTTTACTCATAAAGCCAGAGACTAATGTGCAATTAAGTCATTCCATCTTTGATCATTTCTTGTTCCATAAGGCACAGAAAATATTTACATTCAGTATGCAAGTTCTTTCTTCAATTCCTTGACAGCAGCTTGCTTTAATTATATATGTGCTGACAGAACTACAGTCAGATCCCATGTGACCACAGGGAAAGGGAAGAAAGCTTATCATCAGGTGACAGAAGAATGCCCTCATTGTTAGCACCAGTACCTACAAACAAACCTTCCCAGAGCGTCATACACTGATACAAATACACCGCTCCTGTGGCACTGAGCAAGTATGTTAATAATGGGAGAACCAAGGAAGGGCTGAATCTGAACTGCTCCGCCTGGGGACACGTGTACCTCCAGATCTGAAGCACACAGCAGGACTTTACTGTGCTAAGAGCTGTGCAAACACAGCAGCACAAAATGGATTCAGCTCTGAGAAGATGAGATCACTTCCCAGCCCAGCTGTCACTGCAGTAAGGTCAAGAAATACCTCCAGGCTTATTACAGTGAAAACTAACAGAATCAGATCCTCCAAGTTCATATTTGCACATGGGGGCATATTTTCATCAAGCCATCTCCTACACATCAGGAAATAATCCAGACTTCTCCTTTCTGTACTTCATTCAGCAAACCAGCTGCTCCAAAGATCAATACATTTTGCAACAGGAAATCGTCTGCATTTTAGCACACAGAAAGTTAATCAGTAAGCACAGAGCAAAGCAAACAGGGAACTGGGGAGGGACATAGAGGATCTCTGCTGCTGGCAGGAGATGCGGAGGCCAGGTCATCAGGTGCCTGGTGGGAAGGAATGGGGAGCTGTGGGCAGGCAGGACAGGATGGAATAAGGGCCCTGCTAGGATACCAAGAGTAGCAGTTTTCCAGGATTTGTTGTGATTTTGTGGCTTCGTTTGCATGTCAGTTATTTCTCAGAACTACATCAGACACAGGCAAAAAGCAAAATGTAGGGTTCGGCTAGCAGAACTGAGGCAATATGTTGTGATAGCTGAGTGATTAACATCAGTGTACCTAATACTGATGCACTGAAATTAATGCATGTGCAAATCAGTTGATAGCATGGATGACCCATTCCGAGCTAGTCAGAAAGAAGTTAGTATGTCATAGATCTGTAACGCAAGGAGTATCTTCTCAGGCTACGTCGCTGAACACTGTGAATGTTCATCTCCAGCTCTTTCCGGGAACTCACCACTTTCTATAGCTCGTTTTTCATACCAAGCACAAGTTTCACATGTGCTTATTAACAAATAGACAAACAAGAAATCCTAGGAGAAGTGAACTACGTTTGAAACCTCTGTTTGCTATTCTGTCCTTTCTGGCTGATGGTGTCTATCCCCATTAGTCATCTACCACAGTCTGCCCTGATTCTGCAAACATGTACATGCCAGTAGGTACATCTATGCACACAGGTATTGCACCAGGATGATGACAGCTGTAGGTTAATTCACAGATTGATCCCAGCATTAATGCAATACATAGATATTGATATTGTTACTTTTCCATCTGCTACTGATGGATTTTCAGCTGTAGGAAACCAGCACCTACCAGCTGAACAGCTATGGTGATACTTCTGAAAACAGCTGCTAAATATTATTTTGTGCTACTTAAGGATAGTAGAAAGAGCATATTTGCAGGAGAAAATCCCACACTACAGGAAATAGCGAACGTAGAGCTGGGCACTGCATAGAAATATCATAGAAGCTGGACCTAAGCTCTTAAAATGACCCTCCATATTATACCTGCCTCAAGTCCTAGTGAATTTATCTTCCTTAACTCCCTTCTTCCCTTTTTAGGAAAGTGATGCTTGCTTCCAGCTGAAGGAGTACCGAGGAGAGTTTGATCAAGGTGTGTCTAGACTCATCCCAGCTGAGCTCTAGGTGGCTGCATGGCTGTCTCACCAACCTGCCCTTTGAAAGCAACACCTTGCTTCCCCTTATCTGAAATGGAGCTGGTGACAATTGGTTATCTCACAGGATGAGCTGAAATGGGTGCATTCAGGTTAGTCAAGCTCTTGGAGAATATAATGGTTACTTTGCACCTTGCTTCCTTTATCAACAGGAGGAAAAGGGGGAGGCATTGCACGTGCATTCACACCTGAGAAGGTATTGAATAGAGGTATCTAGGATAATAATCAACCTGAAAATGGTTACTTGCATTTTTTAATGAATCCTTCATTTTGAAGTGAAAAACACTTGTGAAGGTTTGCACTTTGACAGTGCTATTATTGTTCTTATGTTTGTGGACTTACAGAGCAAGCCACCTTGATTGCCGTAGGTGTCTGGCTGGTGGATCCCTTTCCCCACCCTCTTTTAGAAAGCAGTTTGGATTCCGTATAGAACAAAATTTGCAGGAAGTCCACTGGGGTGCAAAGATACCTAACTCCTCATGCTCAGCCTGGGTTGATTTTCATTAGCAGGGTCCTGCAGGCTCTGGAAGGCCATGCTTCTCACTGGAAACCTGTCCCGCTCATGTGAGATTCACATCTGCACAGTTTGCTCCCTGTCCTCCACATCCTTGTTTGTGAAGTGCTTACTACAGCTCTGCAGACCACCTGTTAGAAAACACGTTAACAGGAAACTATGGGGAGTTAACTAAACATGGAGCTTTCCAAATACGTGCCTCCAATTCATGCAGAACCAGATGCAAGCACAAACTATTGTCACTTGAATCTTTTTGCAAAACACCATTTCACAGCCATCAGAGACTCCAGACCTGACAATATGCGACAGAATGTTTGCATCACCAACATAACTGTTTGCTTTTCTTACCGAGGTAGGAGAACTGAAAAGTTCTGTGACAGGACAAAGGGAAATAGTTTCAAACTAAAGCTAAAATGGAGAGATTTAGACTGGACATAAGGAAGAAGCGGTTTACACTAAGAATGATGAGGCATTGGCACAGGTTGCCCAGAAAGATGATGGTTGCCCCATTCCTGAAGAGATCCAAGATCAGGCTGGAGGGGTTCTGAGCACCTGATGAAGCTGTAGGTGTCCCTCTTCATTGCAGAGGGTTGGACCACATGGCCCTTAAAGGTCCCTTCCAACTCAAACTGTTCTATGATTTTACAAACAAAAACACTTCCCTCAATACTAATTGTATTTAAGCACTGATAAAAAAAATGAAAAACATATAAGGAGTATCTCATTGGCATTAATGGGCAACAGATTAGGTCTGGGACCTGTGATCTTCATCAGATGCAGGCACATATGGATCACCACAGTTAGATCCAGATCGGGCCTTTGCACACAGCTCCATGTCTTTCCACTAATAATATAAATACCCTTCATAGGAATTCCTACCCACTTTGTATTTTTACTCTGAGGACAGGCAACTTCTGATTGAATGCAAAGCCTGCACGTGCTTCATTACCCACCAGCATTTTTCTGGTGCAGACATAAGCATGCACAGCAAGCCAGCACTGGGTGGGCATTCTGCCATCTGTGGCCGCAGCAGCCTCAGCTGGAGGTGGGAGCTGCAAAGCCGGATTTACCACCATGCTGGCCCATGGCCATCAGCATAACCTCACACACTGCCATGCCAGCCAAGGCTTCCCTGCCTCCTTTGCTCCAGACTTCTAGCAAGAGACAGTCCCGGAATGAGTGCACCGTGTGGGAGGGGAAGGGCTGGTGCATTTGGCTGGATCCCACTCTACAACCAGAGCTGACATGGGCAGTCCACTGCACAAGCAAAACTGCTGTTCCAGAGACACACACCTACGTGTGCCGGGAGCTCGGCCACGCGGCCGCATCGATTCTCACTCACACCCGAAGCACCTCTGCCAGAGCCATGCCCGACTTCACTGAACATCTTTCATCTCCCCATTGATTACTTGTCACGAGGAGGCAACGCTATAATCAGTGAAGCTCTCAGTTGCTGTCAGCATATGCAGCCCCCATATAAATCCTATTATTTTCTAGTTTATTATTTTATTTTCTGCTTTTATTGTCTCTCTGAAAGAAAATTGCTTCCTAATTAAATGCATCAAAACCATAATACAGTAACCTAAGGTATTTTTCTACTTTACTTCCCCATAAAAGATTACTGCCACAAGAGTGATTGTCATAGGCAGTTATATCACTATTAGTAATAAATGTTTATATCGTGATAGTACTCACACCCCACATTTGTGATGAGATCTTGTAGTTCAAGACCCTGAAAATCCACAGAAATCCATCAGCTTGTGTTTCAGAGCTCTCCCAGAAATAACTATGCACATCTTTCATGCTTTTTCCTCCATTTGTGGCGTTGCATTTAATTTGTAATTGACAGGCCCAGAACTGACATAATTTGGCAATTCCTGGCCCAGGCACAACTTGGTTATTTGAAAAGAAACGTTCTTCATAATGGTATAATTCAAACCAGCATATCCATCAAAGCATGCATTTGGATGTATTTCAGCTCAGGCTCATACAATCTGAGCAACAGATAACACATTAGAGATGCTGGTATTTTCAACTGAAAGACTAAACTGCCCTCAATGCTTCTGATCAGTCAGTGTACAGCTCACTATGTGCAGTAAGAAAAGACAACCAAGGGTGGAGGCATGGCCTTTTCAAGTCACTGCCTGTGTTGCAGATGTCTTCTGGTCAAGAAGAGGAGAAAGACCCCCGCTGCAGACACATTGCACAGGAACACACCAGAACCTCCATACCGACCTCAATTGTATTTCACGCGCTGGGTGCAAGATTGGATTTAGAAAACGTGAGTGGTGAGCAGTGGCAATCGCTCAGTCCTGCAGTACAGGTGCCTGGGTAGAGCCCGCCGTGCCCATCTCCAGAGCCAGACAGCACTCCACAGGCACCATGCTCCCACCCAGCACGGACAACGCAGCACCCAGCACGCTTCCCGGGTACCTTGCAGCTTCTGGCCGTACTCCGTCCTGTCCGACTGACTCCTGCGCAAGGCACCGTGCTCCCCTGCCCCGCTGCTCTCTACCACGGGCTCCGTCCTCCTCCTCTCCCCCATGTACAGCCTGTGCCGCAGCAGGGCCAAATTCTTCCTCCGGCCCCCTATGCCGTCCGTGCTGGCCATGGATGAGGGGTGATCTTGGGCAGGCAGCTCACTGCTCAGGGGAAGGCTCAGCCTTTCCACCTGTACCGGTGCGGCTCCACCTCCGGGAAGCTGCCGCCCCAGGCAGTGTTTGCTTTCACCTACTGCGTGTATGTAAGCCCTACGGGGGCCGGTTTAAGAGCCAGCCCAAGCTGCAGCCACTGCCTTTCCCTACTTCGGGGGACACTCCTTGGCTCCTTTGGCTGCAGGGCGCTCATAACCCCTCAGCAGGGTCAGAAACAGCGTGTGACCCACTCTGATGCCACTCAGTGCTGTGTTCCTCTTGCACAGGGACACTGGTAGAAGCCCAGACATGGAGCACAGAAGGGCCAGCGCACACCAAGGCTACACTGAGGCATGTGGAGGACCTGGAGAGGCTGTTGTGACAAATTGCTGTGCTCTGATGGCAGCAAAACAGCTGCTCGCAGTATCCCTGGCTCAGTCACTGGGAGAGACCTTATTATCCTATTTGCTAGCAATGGCCCCTGGCACTCAGGCACTGCCTGTGAATGCCATGTCGTGCCGGTCTAATCAAACTCATGTCAAAACAGCAGGAGCTGCTGGCATCTCAGCTTGGACCCGACTTATCCTGGCAAGAGCCCCAACAGCTGTCAGCAGCAATCACGGCCCCAGCAGTGACAATGGCCCTGCAGCCCCATTGCTTTTAGGGAACAGTGCATCAGGAGCCCTGTGGGCAGCCTGCTTGCGTGAGGCAGCCACACGCCCAGTGGGTGACAGCTCATAGCTGCCCTGGTGCCACGTGGCCATGCTGCATCCCTAAGGACTGTGCAGGACAAAGTGATGAGTACAGGGATACCATGCAGCAGTGTTAATGCATCTCCAATTTGTGTTTATCCAAAAAGAACTTGGTCCACTATGACGCTGCCTCCTGACCAAAGTCCCTCATTTCTACCCTGCAGAGTAAGGAAAAGATGAAGAAACGATTAAGCAATTCTCTATGCCAAATTACGGTGCGGTGCCAGTGCTGCACAAAGTGTCCTGTCTGCACAGAACCTGGCAGAGGACTAAAGCAGAGGATACCAGGAAGAGCTCGTGCTGGCACAGAGAAGGTACACAGTATGCAGGCAGCCCATGTGTTGCATCTCCTCTCCCCTTTGCTACTCCCCAAGAAACCCATGTGTGTTGCAAGACAGACCACAACAGTTCCTAATGAGGCACAGCAGTGAGGGCGAGAAGGGTGCCCAGGGAGCAGAGACTAGCATCACAGCAAGGAATAAACAGATTAAGGTGGGAGTTGAGGGAAACTGGCTGCCCTATTTCCTTACATTGGGGATTTCCTGAGTTTTGTTTGTTTTCTTTTTATCCAGGCAATGGCTTGACATTCAGCAAGGGTGGCAAAACTGGTTTAAACGGTCACCACCCTTTGTGTCCCCTTCCCCCTGGAATCCTGTTCCCATTATTGGTGGCAGGGTGCAAGCTGAGCATCTGAGGCTGGATGGAGGAGGTGATCTGGCTGAAAGCCCCCTGACTTCCCCCTGGGCCATTTTCCATCTGGATCTGCTCTCCCGCTTAGTTCATCACACAGTTTTGCCAGCAGTTGAAGCAAGGGAGGGACACAGGGGTACATGTGAACAGCTGCTTAGATGTAGTTACTTAAACTGGCACTGCCCAGAGTAGTTATTCACCCCCTCAAGGATCTTATCGTGCCCATTTTTCTGAAAGCACAGATCTCATCATCGCTAGGAGATTTTATTATATTTATTTAAATTAAGATTGCTGTAGGGAAAACTGGGGAATATACTTTGGCTGGGTGGAGGTGAAGGAACAAATTTTATTAAATTCTTGGCTTTGCAGGCTCTCTGCCACACATGAAGAGTTCCAGCCAAGATATAATGGTTTGTTCAGGTGTTTATTACGACAGCAATCTGCCCACATGCAAGAGGTGCCTTCCTCTTCCTCCACTACTCTCTCACAGTCTGACAAAGTTTGTGTTCATTCAGCAAGGAAGTGGGTGCAGGGAAAGCCAACTGTGGTTTGCTCCTGCCTTTGAGCAAGTAGTGGTCTGAGTCCAGGCAACAGCAGCATTTCTGGGGCAGCACAGAGCCCAAAGCTATTGTACAACACAGTCTAGAAATGCAGAGTGCCTTCTGAAATCTCAAAATATCTCCTCTGTGCCTCTTACTATGGAAAGGGCTGAAAATAGCATGTCTGAAGTCATGTTCCACATGAGGTTTAATATAGAGGCAACCAGATGTAATCCCTATAGAATCTTACTACTGTTTGCTGTACTTCACCTGGGCTATAATAAAACAGCTGAGAAAGCACTACCAGAACTGCACATGAAGAACTCAGCTAGCAGTAGCAACCAGCTCTCAATGACTGAACAGCTTCTGTTCCCTTCTGGCCATGGTAGCAACTGATGGCTGAGCTGTATCAAAGTTACTAAACTTTAAGACAAGAGGGAATATTTGGCATCTGTGTGGACAAAATGCTCATTTTACAATCATTGCAAATATCTCTTTGATCCCTGGATGTTCTGCTTATTTAATTCTCCTAAGCAAATTGGAAGCCAGAGGATGTTAGCACTCACATACGGGATATTTACATGGAACCTCTCCACTCACGAGACAGAACAGGTGCTGGTGTCAACATGTAAAATATTGGCTTTGTGTTCCCAGGCAACTGTAGTAGTTGCACATAAGAAGTTATTGTTCTACGATCAATGTTAACCTTTATCTTCATCCTGAGCTATAAATGAACCGGGAACGCCATCAAGACTGATGGCCATTAAGTTGTTTGTTTTGTTGTAGTTCCTCACAGCTGTTACGGTGTATTTCATGGTATCCCAGTTTCTTGGTGTATTTTTTGGTATCCCAGAGCACTCAATGTACTGCTGTGGGCTGATTATCATGCTGTTCCCTGCCAGTGGAAGGAAGCATGGCAGGAAACACCTCAGGTTTGCTCAGCGCAGTGGCCACTCAATGAAAAGACAGCCTCCTAATGCACTGCACCATGCCCCCACCAGCCAGCATGAAATTGCAGCAAACAAATTTAGCTCAATGCCAACATTAGAAATCTTTCAGGATGGGAAATAGTGTGCCCACATTCCCTTCTGGACCCACTGCGACAATTAAAGGTAGATTAATCAGTATGTTTAATGATGAGTCCACAGTTGCTCCTCATCCTTGCTTCCCTACATCCTTGGAATTAGCTCTCCTCTGCACAGTAAAGCGATTACACCCAGTGGGTAGTAGAGGATCAGCATGGTACAAGGAAATGCTACAGAGAGCAGTCCCACCCCCTCCACGGGGGGGAGGTGACAGCAGTGGGCTCAGATGTCTCTATTAGCCCCCTGTCTCCACACACACACACCTGGGTGCAGATAAAAGCAAGCCTGTACCTCTTCTTGCTCTGCTTGTATGCATGAGTCAGAGCAAAGATATCTTTTGAGAGACAAAATGTTGAGGTGATAAGAGCACTCACGTGAAAGGCCCACCAAGGACTTTGAGCACTGGGAAGCTGAGAGAATGTTCACCCTATCCGTCTGGGGCTGTAATTGTAAGATAAGAAAAGAATGACAGATGAGGATAAAAGCAATAAAAATGGAAGACTTAAGGATAGGTAAAACTGAAGTCTACTACACATTCATCTTTCAAAAGAATGAATCAAAACTACTTTGAAATATACATAGGAAAAAAAAAAAAACTTCAAAAACCTTTCCACAGTGTAGAGCAAGAAAAAAGCCTGTCTTGTAGGTGGGAAGTAATTTTGTGTGGCAATGTCACCTTGCCTCTGACTGCTGATCTTGCCAGACTGGTGATTCCAGTAGAGAAACAGGTCCTTGGAAGTGAGCGCACAGCGATCGTTTCTTTTAGCTGTCTCTAGTGTTTCCTCTCTAAATATTTGTTGGAGAAATTCATAAAGCATACACCTGCAGGGCTCGGAACAGGCTGCGGGTGTTTTAAAGAGGGAACAGCTCAACCTACCAGGCTCTGCAACCAAGCTCCTTTTACTACCATGAAGCCTCGGGACTCCCAACAAAGCTGCTGTCGCAGTTTATATGTCCAAAGGGCTGAAGTGCTCTATGTGTACAGAGAGGGACCCAGCTTTCAAATGAAACATCTGTCAGGAAGGAGAGGGGTCACCAGGGCTTGAACTGCTCTTAGTGTGCAGTTGGATCTGTCATTGTCCTGCCAGAGCGTTTTATTAGCCCACAAAACATGCATGGAGCCAGGCCAGCTTTCCAAGGTGCAGGCTTGGAGGGGTGGAGGAGAACTGGTGATCAAACTGAGCAGATGTTGGATTTCTGCAGGGTTACAGCAGTGCGGCAGTTTGCTAAGGGAAATAATCTGACTCTGTCCATCAAGTAGATGGCACTGTGATATCAAAGCTAACGAGGGAAAGACATGTAAATGAGAGAGGCAAATGAAAGTACAGGAGGTTGAATCTTCATTATTGTGTTTTAATGCAAAAAAGGGAGTGTAGGAATTACCAAAGGTAAAATATTTTTTGAGGAATCCTTTGAGAATTGTATGTCTGACAATTTGAAAATTGAGAGGGAAAGGGTGCATTAAAAAGCCTTAATTTTCATTGTAGGTCCCTCTTTTGAATGAGTATAATTTTGCAGCTTTGCACTAAATCTTCATGTTTCCAGACAATGCTTTTTTAGATTTATTGGAACTATTTTTCCTTTCTGTTTCTCTATTTTGTGTACATAAACAGCCATGAAAGAAAAAGGAAAGACTCCATTTCTGATTCGTGATGGAGAAGTTGCTCTAGAGTAACAAAGGTAAGAGTCTTTAAAAAACTTAAGTTGCAAACAAGTTTAGGTGGGACTCACAGTAGACTAAAAATCTCTGCTTCAGGGGCTTAAAATGAACAGAGCAGATGTCTAGGAAGAAAGAAACAGGCTTCTGTGACAAAGCTTAACACAGATGTGGATCCTCACCTCTCGAGGGCACCACATTCTAGACAGAAGTCCAGTTTCCCATAAATATTGATGATTGATCTTTTTAAAGCAATAGCGTTACTCAGGTGAGTTCACCAGTGTAAAAAAAAGGCTCACAATCTGTGCCTCACAGTCACAATCTTTATTAGGAACATAATGTAACCTAATAAAATTTCTTCTAGTTACCAAAATAGACAATTTGTTCCTTGTAATTAGATGATGTAGACTTTTGCTGCCATCAGGTATTTGTCAGCATGTAGAGCACAAATGCTTGTGTGAGTAGGCTATGCACTGACATCCTCTCCCAAATCCAGCTGTGCCAATGAGAGAGGTTACTGACTTCAGCAGCTTGTCTTCCTCCTCCTGCTCGAGTCTGTCACTGCAAAGGTCTGCAAGTAGGTAGAGGAGTTCATGCTTCTTAACCTGCTTCAGTCAGAAAGCAGCCTGACATAGCTGTCTTTAACCTGCTCCAGCTGGCCTCGCTTGGTGCAACCTGAACTAGGGAGCAACAGTGCTGCCCCAGCACGGGAGCACTGACAAGCAAGGGCAAGCAGGTACATGCTCACCAGGAAGGCTGGAAAGGGAACAGCTGCCCGCGAGCGCTGCCCTTTTGCAGTGGCGAGCAGCAAAGCAGAAGGCTGACAGGAATTGATTCCTTCCGATTAATGGTTTGATAAGCAGTGGAGATAGAAGTTATGCTACAGCAAAGTTAATGATAATGATGTAATCGCCGGTCAGGAGCTAACGCGCTGAAATAGCACATTGTGGTCCTAATGACAGTCTGCAAAGCCTTATTAGTTGAAAAGATGAAAACCATTTTCATTTGGGAGAAAGGGAAATTGTTCTTTTAATCACTATTTATTTATAACACAAAAAATTGTTTTCTGCGTTTAATTTGTAGGGCATTTTCACCAGCAAAACATACACATAATGCATATATATGAAAAAAAGTAAACGTACAGTGCCAAGTACAAACTGTTAAAGGAAGGATGTCCTTCAGGCTTAGGTGATTATACTGCTGCTGAGTTTTTGCTATACACCAGTGGTACTCTTGTGGAATGAGATTCACCCCTGTGCAGAGGGCAAGCATAAAACCTAAGTACCATGTAAACCCTACTTAAGTCTTATGGACCTGCTTCTAACTCCGTTGAAATAAATAGCAATATTTTCATCAACTTTCAGTGGGACCTGTTTCAAGGTCAATGAATGGGATCAGTCCTACACAAACCTTTTGCTGGCCCAATATATTAAGGATTTGGATGTAAAATGCTTGGGAACAAAAAGAAGTGAAAAAAAAAACAAAAACCTTGCCTGTAAAAGCTTTAGTAATTTTAGAGAATTTGCATCATCTAAATATGAGAATCAAAACATGAATTTGTTCCAAAGATTCAATAATATTAAGTATGGAAGCTGCAGTATCGCCTAAATCTGACTTTAGGAATACTGTGCATACTTCTGTCATGTTTTGTGTCATAGTACTGAGAAACACTGTCAAATCTATTTCAGGCTTTATCACCATTATTTCTGTAGTTTTAGAAGAATTTTTGATACACTGGAGTATTAAAACAGTAAGGCCTCTGCTCTGGCAGTGTTAACAGGTCTTGCATGTGTTTTTCTACCGTATCATTCACCATTGCAGAGTAACAGGATGGCATCTTTTTATTCACCTAAAAAGAGCCGGAATAGAAAGTCATTTATATCTCATAAATTCCAAGCGTTCAGATGAGACCTCACACGGCAAAGGAGAACTCTGCACTCAGAATTCATGCATCTTACAGCAACTCTTGACCACAGCTGTGTATTTTACTTCCTAGCCTGTATGGAGAGATAAATACGTTGGGTTCCTCCTAGAACAATACTAAACCCAACTGCCAACGTTGTAAATGTAAAAATACTGCATGTGCACTCAGTAAACAATTTTTCAAAGGCTCTGAACTTCCATAAACAAACCCCACATTTGCCAGACCCAAGCAGGGGAGTGGGCACATGGCATATGTCTGTTTTTTATGTTGTCTGTTTGAGCAGCAGGCCAACTCAAAGAAAATGCAGAACAGATATATTTTTTTTTATGATAGATTCTCTACTGTTGTGTTTTGTTTTGTTTTGTTTTTTTCCCCACATGAAAAACGGATGACTCACCTCCTTACAAACTCAAAACACAAAGAACTTCAAGCAGATACCTTACATGATGAATTTCAAACCCCAAGTGTCCAAGACAGAAGGTTACCCTGGAAAACCTGGCATTTGGTTGAAGAACCTTTTCCTAGCAACCTGACCCTCCCATGACACAGCTGCATGCTGTTCCCTCAGGCCCCATCTCTGTCCCCAGAGAGCAGAGCTGAGCACTGCCCCTTTGCTCCCTGTGAGCCACCGTGAGGCCTTCCCAACCAAGGGACCTGATCCTGCACAAATCTTCCAGCATAATTCAGACCAGGGTTAAAATCCAAAATTGATATTGACCACCAAAGACAACTGGCTTGAGATTGAAGAGTGATAAAGTAACACTAACTGTTCAGCCTGCTTCTCCATCAGTGAAACAAAGCAGTCCCTTCTCAGGAATGTTTGAAAAGCAGAGGATGAGAAGCAACCTGTATCCACGGATAAAATCCATCAGTAACCCTCCTTGAGGATGAAGGGAAAGCGACCAGAATTCAAAGCCACCAATGCTGCAGGAAACATCGTCCATAGAGGAATACAAAACCACTACAAAGAGAATACAGATGATAAGCTAATTTATGTGTCGGCAAAGTTCAATATAACAAGCATTACCTATCTGTGGGAATCAGTGCCAGTAGCCCAGCTACCCTGGTGCAGGAGTGGGAGCCGTGTGCTGAGAAGGGAACACTTTATTGCCAGGGAGCAGGCAGGATGGCAATCGTCACACCTCCACTGGGGCTGACAAACCTGCCATGGCACCACTCCTTCCACGCCCCTATTTCCTCCCTCTGTCCCCTTCTCCCGCGTCTGGGGGCAAGCGGCCATCTCACGGACCCCACAGCCAGAGTTTGGACCCGGCGACAACTGCCGCCTCGGGGCAAACCGCCATCTTGTGCCTCTCGGGGCTGAGAGCCGCGCCTCCCCTGAGGCGCAGCGCGGCGGTACGGACTGCTGCTGTCAGTCCGCGTCGGTGCGGCAGGAGGAGAGGGGGCCCTGTCGCAGTAGCATCCTGTCTGCAGGGCCGAGCCGGGCCTGCCGGCGGGGACCGCTAGGGACAGCCGGGGCAAGGGGCAGGAGGTCGCCACGGCGCGGCGCAGGCCCGGCGGCCGCAGGAAGGGGAGGGAGGCGGTCGCAGCCATCATGCGTGTGCTGCCGGGGTTGGGGCGGCTGCTGGCGGCGCGGGATTGGGGGCGGCCGCCGCGCCGCTGCCTCACCGCCATGGCCCGCTACGGCACGGAGCAGCGGGGGCGGCCCAACTCTCCCGATTACCGCCTCTACTTTAGTAAGTAGCAGCACCCGGGGCCCGGTGACCTCCTCCCCTTCCTTCTTTCTCCGCCTCGGGACGGGGCACGGCGGGGAGAGGCGGTAGCCGCCTGCCGCTCCCGCTGAGGCCTCTCGCGTTGCTCGAGGGGTCGGCCCCGAGGCTCCCCTCTACCCGAGGGGCGATTTGCGTGGAAAGTGATGAGATTTCCCGGCAGATCTGCCTTTCGGAGGAAATGCTGGGCCTGTAAGGGCCTCCGGGCCGGTGTGTGCGCTGCACGGGCCCTGCAAAGCTCCCTGAACGGTGTGGGGGTGCTGGGGGCACGTGGGGCACTGGGGAGCCTAAGGATGGGCTTGGCAGAAGGAGCCTCGCCTCAGCACTGTGTCAGCTCTGTGGGAGTACTGCCTGTACCCTGTGGCCAGGCCAGCCCTCCTGGAGACGTCACGCAGAGGAGAGACTGGCATCCAGACAGCAGGGCTGCAGCGTGAGCAGCAGCAAGGTGGCACTGGGAGAGCGCGGGCAGGGCTCCAGGAGGCGAGAGCTTCAGCATTACACGTGTCGCTAACTACACTGACCGTACTGCACTTCGCTGTTGTGTACGTCTTTAGTTGGTCGGCTTCTCAGGAGTTACCTCTGACGTCTGCAGTCATCACGTGCCCTGTGGGCACTGCTCTGCCAGGGCTCCTTGTGCTCAGTCCCCAGGGAGCTGCAAGGCATGTCACTCAGTGGAAGCAAGCAGCCCGCCACTAAACTTTGCTTTAATTAAGAGGATGGTCTGGGTGGCTTCCAAGAGTTGCCAGCAGGGTGAGGGAGGTGGTTGTATCTCTGCTCTGACCTTCTAAGGTCTATCTGGGGTATTGTGTCTCGGCCTGGGATCCCCCAGTACAAGAATTATGTGGAGCTGTTGGAGCAGATCCAGAGGAGGGCCACAAGGATGATAAAAGGGCTGGAGTACCTCTTCTATTAAGATAGGCCTAGAAAGTTTGGGATGTTTAGCTTGGAAGGAGAAGGCTCCAGGGAGACTTCATTGAGGCCTTTATCCTCCTCAAGCAGGAGAAGGAGTGACTTTTTACACAGCCTGATACTGATAGGATAAGGGCGGATGGCTTTAAACTAAAAGAGGGGAAATTTGAGTTAGATGTTAGGAAGAAATTCTTTACTCATAGTGGTGAGGCACTGTAACATACTGCCCAGAGCTGGGGATGCTCAGATACCCATCTCTAAGGGAGTTTGAGGCCAGGTTAGATGGTCTCTTGGGCAGTCTGATCTAGTGGGTGGCAGCTCTACTCACAACAGGGTCCGTTTAAGGTCCTTTTCAGCCTAAGCCATTCTATGAAAACAGACAGCATGTATTCCTCTTTGTGGAGGTTGTCCAAAGCTAAATAAAGAGTTTTGTGTTTCCGTTTACCATAAAGAGGAGTAACAAACAAAGGAGGAACTCCTTGAGATCAGTGTCTTGTATTGTATATAAACGTATTATTATATGTTTCTGTTTCTGTTTGGGCTTTGGTATATTGAAGAGTTTCTAAGTGATTTGAAATGCTTCAGCGTTTACTCCGGTAAATTTTGTTCCTTTCTATAGTGGAAGCAAGGCTGAGGTGCAGACTAGGCCTCCATTAAGGTAATGTCAATTTTTGCAGGATTTGAGGTTATCATGTTTCATATCTAGGGCCTGAGCTATTATACCATCTCTGGTATGTTCTCTTCATCAGATTTCAGCATGCTGAAGAATTTTCTCTTTGTGATTGTGAAATTTAGCTCACTAGAAATACAGTAAAGTCATCAGGGCTATACTACTAGAAGACCATGGAGATTCACTGATCACTCATGGAACTGAGGTTCCCTGAGTATTCCACACCTTTTTTTTCTCTGTTAATGGTTGTGTACTACCAAGGAAGAAAGGAAAAGACAAGGAAGGGATCTTCTCATCTTTCTATAGCTTGTATTGCCAGCTAGGTAGAAAAGAGAAGTGTGGTATTGAATACCAAATCAGTAATTCTGATTCCAGTAAGTCATTGTCAAAGAATCAAATACGTTGTCCTGCACGTAGCTTATTTTTCAGTCTTTGGAATTAAACTCCAGGAAGAGATTTAATTGATGGGTATGTTGTCATATCATAGATTTCTATACTGCATAATAGTTGTTACTAGTGCAGACATCTTACAGCATGTATATCTAGATTTGTAATGTTACTTTGTTGTTTTATCTTTCAGAGAACGCTGATGGTAAATATATTTCCCCGTTTCATGATATTCCACTCTTTGCTGGATCCAAAGAGGTATGTATTTTTACTTTGAGTACTCTTTAGATATAAATGCACTTTTAAAAGGGATTTTTTTTAAACAATTAAGTCTGTAGTGCCAAAGGAGGCGTTTTAAGCCAGTCTGAATAATAATGTAAGCAAGATAACTCCACCTCATTTTCCCAGTGAAGTTCAGTAATTTGTATTGAAGCATCATAACTGTGTAAATAAACCACTTGTCCTTTTAAATCTCCAGGTGACTGAGGGTATGGAGAGCCCTCTCAGTACCATGTAGCAACTCTCTGTGTTTAAAGTTTGTGTTCCCGGGTTTTTCAGCTCGCTTTCTATTGTTATTTAAAAAAATGGATTTTTTTCTATGTCTGCAGTTAAACGTGCGTTTCCTTGCTGTGGGACGTGTACAGCACATACTTATGTGACTTCTGGTGTATTTTTTTAATTCCCAAAAGGAGGATTATAATTGGAAGCCAACAATAATGCCCGAGAGAGAAGTGGTAATCGCACCTTTAGAGAATTACGAGGCGTGAGGTGCAGCTGAGCACTTTCACGTCTTGTTAGCCACGTTCCCTGGAGTTTCATTATGGCAATAATGAAACGCCTGTTTTATATGTCACTGGTGGGAACTGACAGTCTTTGGTTTAGACTTAGGTTTGCTTATTATGGTACACTTGTTACACAAACAGGTTGGGAGGGTTTTGGCCGTTCTCTTCATTTGTTGCTGGGACTCTATGGGTGATGTGACTGCTGAGATATGTCAACAGCTGTAGTGTGTTCACAAGTCTCTATCTGAGTAATGAACCAATTTCCTGAATTATTTTAACTGTCATTACTAAGATGCTCTGTGGACCGGGTGCTATTAATATGAAATCAAGGGGCATTTTCACCCACATGTTGTTTGGAGGCCTTGCTGGGCCTGCTTCAAGAGTTTGTTTGGTGAGAAGGATTATGGTCTGTGAGTTTTCTGTGGACTAAATTATAGTACAGTGATGACTGATTAATGCAGAGAGCCTTTCATTTTGGCTGTGTGAGCAAGGAAAGAGCTTCAGAGCTTCCTGAGGGACGTGAACACCAGAAAAGAATTGTTGTTGGTGCTATTTTTACCCTCTTTTCAAAATGAGGAGGTTAGGGCTTACATGTTGTATTCTTTGCCTCTTCTAATCTAAGCTTTGTGAACTTAATTTTGTGGTGGATAACTCCAGGCCTATTTTCTGTATTGTTTGTTGTTTTGTTTTTTATTCTGTTCAAGTGAGCAGAAGGATGACTGATGTGTTTTAAACAGCTGATGCCTAAACTGCTGCTTGAAATCTCTGCATAGCAGAGAGAAAGTGAATTCGTCCATGTATATTTTTCTCTTGCTCTGTTAACAGTGGAAAGGTTATAACTTCACAATCATGTGGGACCAACAACTTATTTTTAAAAGTTACTGTTTGTGCCTTCCTACCTGAGAGTGTTTCATTTGCATTTAAAACTAGTAATATCTGTGTTGATGTGAATACACGATTGCTCTCTAATGTTCTTTGTTCACCCTTACCTTATAGGATAAAGAGATTCCTGCAAAGAGGTCAAAGACTACAGGAAATGAGGTACAGCTGGGTTCTTTTCCCTCCTCCTCCTTTTCTTTTCCCTTGTTTGCATCATTTTGCTTTTCTGCAAAGTAATCTTTTGCTGAATATAGTTAACATATGTTCAAATGCAAGTCTTTCAGGAAAAGAATACTTACAGGGATTTAATATTCTTCTCCTTTAATGAGTCAGAAATGTTAGAATTCTTTTATTCATCAAAAAGTTCTCAAAAATGGAAGGCTTTTATACTGCTTTTTCAGAGTTTCATTTTAACTGTTACAGTGTAGATATATTTTCTTTTTGGCAAAAGCATTTTCAGTAAAAAACCTCCATTAGTGAAATATTCACGATGCTTTGACTGTGGGTTAATTTTGGTATATATACAAAACTTAAGAGATTGTAAGTATGTAGGGCAGAAATTAGAATTACTATTCCTGTTTTTTACACCTGAAGTTGTATCATTTTCTGTGCTCATTTAGTAAGCCCAAAGAGAGAAAATCACATCTGCTACTGGTTCAGTATTAACCAGCACTAAAGCTGATAAAATTCAGTTGAAAAAACAAAGACGTGTTTTCTTGTGTCCTTTCTTCTTTCCCCCATGCCCCTCTGTCTTCTTAGTATCTGTTTGACCAGTCATATTGCAAAACTGTAACTTTAACATCCAGTGTTAAAGAACTGTCTGAAATCTCCTTACAGGTTGACAACTAGCATGGGACATGCTGGTTTCTGTATTGTACACCAGTCCACACACAGTCCTGCACAATGCATTTCTTCCACCTTCAAGCTGTGTGACACTTAGTGGGTTTCCTGCTGCTTGATGCCCCTTTAAGTACTATTTGGTAGATGTGCAATTGTACCTGACGGATAAGTTGACAAGGAGAAGTATGTCCCAATAGCCTTTCTTGACCTTTTTGCAACATGAACTCTTAATTATTGGTCTTGAACACTGTGACACTATCTGCTGTTTACAGAAATGCAAACCCTGTTCTGTGCAGTGTCTAAATTTTGTCTGTGTGGGGGGCAAGTATGGTAGTTCATTTAAAACAGTATTTCTCGTTCCCTTTTTCTAATCTCTGGATCACTCTATGGGGAAAACAAATAAGGAAAAAAAAACCTGAGAAGCTGAGCAGCTCTTATTTTCTGGGTCAGGGTAGACTCTAGAGCTGCTTCACTTAACTCTCACTATGAGAGAACTCTGGGCTGTGGTTGCATAAAGTGGTGGAAAAGGAGCAAAAGCAAATGCAGATGTTGGTCTTTGAGCATCTCATGTGAGTACGCAAACGAACATATATCTGCAGGCTTCCCAAATCTGTTTGGTCTTAAGTGGTGAAAAGCGAGAATGCAAATCATTTAGGAAACCTTTTTTCACCATGTTTGGGAGCTGAGAAGAGAGAAAAGAAAGGGATCTTTGTGTTCAGGAAAGCAGTGTTCTGTCTTACACTGCCACCTTTGCCTAGGGAGAAATGTATCCCTGCAGGGATTCCAGGGAAAGTATAGCTCAATGAGGGTATAAAGAGAAAATGAGGAATATAATGCTCTGTACTGATTTCTGAAGATCTTTGAAGCACTATATTCCATAGCTTGGCCTAGGGATGCAAAGGCTACTGTTGTTACTGGGTGTTGAGTTGATCCTTGCTGCAGTTGGCCAAAGTTCAAAGGTAACAGTTCTGCTTGCCCTAGGAACAAAGTTAAAGCTCATGCTCTTGCTTTCAAACTCAAGGTAGCACTTAATAAACAAATACATTTAGGAGTGGAAAAAGATGCAATCTCTGCATGAGTCTGCTCAGTCTCTCTAACTTTAAATTGTTCTTTGCATTTCTTATACAGGGAATGGAGGTCTCAAAAAAAGGAGTCTGTTTATAGGATAAAGGAATGTACCTGTTAGCTGTTCTGCAGTCTCAGCTTCTAGTTTGAAGGGAAAAGCTGTGATAGTTGTGTATTAAATCTTGTAAGGAACCCTTCTTTCTTGCAATGTTTTAGACCTTCCCACATCTCTATTAAATTCAGTTTTGCAGCTGTTGTTGACAACTGATCTTTTGGCTGTTCAGAGACTTGAAAGGAGTTACTTTCAGGGAGAAGCTATGTTGGAAGAAATCATATTCAGCTTCAGTCCCAAAACTGTTGCCAGCCTGCAGTCTGAACCTCTGCTTTGTCTTTAGCATTGCAGGCACTTGAAATCTGCTCTTCCTGAGTAAATCTTGCTGAAAGGCATCCGAAGTTTCACATTAGTGTCTGAAGGGATGGATGTTCCCACTGTGGTTACAGTCAAAACTGTCAGGATTGGACTGTTGACTACAGTCTTACAAGTCTGGCAGGGAGGTTTGAAGAGGTCATAGTTTTCTTCTCAAGACTAATGTGAAGCATTGCTTCCCCATTGAAATGCAAGAGTTTCTGATCTATTGTTGTTGTATATGTCTTTGGTGTTCACATTATGTCATTCAGGGGACTCAGGTGTTCCTAAATACAAAGGTTTATTTAACACATTGGCCTTAATCTGTCCAAGCACGCAGAAATTATACTCCTAACTTTCAGGCACTACCAAAGCAGTTGAAAAATAGCAGAAAGAAGTAAGACAGGTTTGGTTTTGTCGTGTTCTTGTGGCCTTTGTGGACTTAAGTTGAATTCCTTCTGTCAGGCAAAACCTTTTGATAGATTAGGCAGTGGGATGAGATACGATTCATCACTGTGCTCATGTGGTCTGAATAGGCAATTTGATTGAGGGCCTGATGCTTGCAACAGAGTTCCCATTTGTGGTGTCAGAGTTGTCTTACGATAAAGGCAGTGTGTTCCATAAGCAGGGAAAAGCTGGCGTTATGTCCCATATAACGCAGCTGCAAAACTTGGGCTGTGTTCTCTCTTAACTACAGCTTCTGTAACCTTCTGTAGTCATGTTAGACACTTTTTTATGTGTAACTTGGGCTGTAGTAGGTCCATTACAAAGAATTTTGTGTTCCAAAATCTAGATTATCTGTGAAGGTTTCACCCTGATGTGTGAAGTTGCCTAGCTTTTTTCTGTGTATCTCTCCAATAGCTGCAAATTTTCGTTTTTGTTATTGTAGATTAATAAATACTGAGAAGAACAGAAGTAATCTTCTCTCATCTGCCCAGGAAATTTATTGGAGTAGAGTTGGTTTACTGTGAAAGCTGTATCAGTGGTCAGGCTTGACTTTAGAGAATTGATTTCTTGAGATCTGAGGTTTTATTTGCATCTCTGTCAAGGTTCTATCCTGAGTAGTTCTGCAGGTGAATGTGTCTGCTAACTAGTTGATCACTGTTCATATATCTGTGGATAAAAATTCTTCCACGATTCTTGATTCTCATTGCAGTATAACATGAGGGAAGGACACTGTGAAGAGCTTGAAGGCACTTCACACTTACAGTGGGCACTGTGTTCCTTTTTTGGAAGGTGCTCTATTAATTTGTCTTGGGAAAGTTCTGCTGACTTCTCTTTAGATACAGTATTTGGTTTCCAGATGCTACTGATATCTACTTTGCTGTTTTTGTTGGTGGACACCTCATAGTAAGTGTTATATCAGTAATGCTTGTAACACAGGGTATGATCTTATGAACAAGATCCTCTTAATTTATTTCTGGTTGTATTTCATGCCAGTCTTTACTTTCCTTTTTTTTTTTTCTTTTTGTTTTCCCTTTGTTTGTCTTTCTGTCTTCTTATAAACTCATGTTACTGAAAACACTACTTTTTGTTCAGACTGGTAGCACTAGACTGCAGTTCATCCTTTCCATTCTCCTCAGTCCACAAATGCAAGCTGCTGGTGAGAATCCCTGTAAGACTGCAAATGAGCAAGTAGACAAAAATGAATATGAAAATCATGGCTATTTCTTTTCTTATCTCTGTCTTGTGAGCTCCAAGTTTCTCTACGAGGAGAGTCAGTAGCCCCAAAATGCAGCCTTTAATACTGTCGGATATATTTTTTTAAAGTACTCTGCTATAAAAATGACTAATGTAACAATTAGTCTTCAGCTTACCTCCTGCAATCCTGATGGTGAATGGCAGTCAGGCCTTAAGGAGCATATTACAAAGATAGTAATTATACTGAGTTTCTCTTCTCCATCTCTCACTTTGTCACTCTTCTTGTTCTGCATGGGTTGCTCCACTTCTTCAGATAAGCTGATGCTTCAGAGTTGGGTGTTACATGTTGCAATCCTTGAGCACAATTGTACCTATTCAAAACCCGCCCCTCAAATACACCAACTCAGGAACTTAGGAAGACTGAGAAACAAAGTAGTTGAGCAAGAGGGGCAAAAGTTGGGCAAGGAAGAAAAACTGTTTCTGAGAATGATTAATGGTAAACCAGAAGGGTGGGTTGCAGAAATAGTGTCAGAAATGTGCTTAATTTCTTTTCTGCTTACCTGTGGTGTTCAAATTTGTTGTAACAAACCTTGACCAAAATGAGCCATCTTCTCTAAGAATCTCTTCTTAGAACAAACCAGAGCCAGCAGTATTTTTTTCCCATTGGTCATTTGTGGAGACGAGTGTCCCGCAGTTTAGGTACAACGGTGTGGATTTTCCGTGCTTTTCTCAACACTTGTATGAGCATTCTGAGTAATATTTCTATATCTCTGTGCTTAAAAGGCAAACAGCAACAAAAAGAAAAAAGAAAAAACCCTTCCTGTTCCTATTGTCTCTATTGAGTAATAGAAGTAGAAATGATTTTACATTAAAAACAGTTTAATTCAAATGGAATGCAGTAAGTTGCCAAGCCTTGTTGAAGAAAACACCCTGCTAATGCAAACACTTATTTACATCCTACATCAATTCCTATGTGATGTGGTTTGGCTGTCCTTAGATAATAAAGGATTCTGTTTAGAGAGTTTCTTTTTCTGATGTAATTTTCTCATTATTTTCATACTCAGTTTGAGGAACTGGGAAATATATATTTGACCTTTCCATGCTGATTTATTTATTTTTTTTCCCTTTCTCTCCTCCAGATATAATGGAGCAGAAATACAAACATATGTCCTTTGTTCACATTAACCCAAAGTCAAACAAACTCCATGACACCTTGGGTTAAACATCCCTCTGGACCCTGTAAGGTCACTTTCCCTAGCTTATGAGTTCTCTCCCTTTTTCTGAATCTAGATAAAATCTGGACTTTGGCAAGCAGTGATCTCATAGGCAGACCAGCTGACTGCTGGCATGTTAAAGCAACTAGATGCTAAACTTCCTAAAGCAGTAGTTTTTTGTTTCATGAGAAATTAGCTTCTGGGTTTGCTTTTTTTCTCTCATTGGAAGGTGTGCCACGGGCTGTTGGAGCAGTCTTAGCTTTCCTTGAGGGGGTAGAAGTGTGGCTCACGTGGCTTTTTCCTGAGGTGAAATTTTTTTTGTTTTACTGATGAAAGATAAAAATATCAATTGCCAGACAATGACCAGCCAAAGCTAAACACCGAATGGCAAATGCAGGTGGTAATCTGTGCAGACGTGTGATGCTTGAGATGTTACTGTTTGCAGCTGGGGCCAGGAGTGTTCTGCAGCAAGCACTTGAGGGAGGGGATTGTAGTGGATGGAGTGAATAGATGCCTGTTGGAATGGAAAAGAGTGTAAGAGTGAAGGAGAAGGAATCCTGGATGACATTTAGGCAAGCAGGGAAACAAGGCAATAGGAAAGCAGAGGAAAAAAAAAAAGCAACTTTAGAACAAAACAAAACCCACAACTTAGAGAAATCGAAGGTTTGAAATCTCAATCAATAGAAATCTCTCTTTCTGTCTGTCAAACTGTCTAATATGTGCTCTTTCCACTTCGGTGAATTCTGCCTCATCACTGTGAAAATGTAATTGCCCTATAAATAAAACTTTATTTTTAAAGGTAAGCACTGCATGAAGTTATTAATCTCTTGTAAATGCTTGTTAATTAATCTTGTAAATGCTTGTGGCAGCTTAGTATTAGCGAAAGTACTTCTGGGGCTGGGTTTTTGTTTTGTTTTGTTTTTTGCATATGAATTAATCTGTCTGGCTGTCACATTTAAGACCTGACAGGTTCATGTTTGACTGATACCACAAATTATGAAGGCCTGGTCTTAAAGCCAAGTCAAATCCAACTCATTCCTTTTGAGGGAAGCACTGTAATTTGCTTCCATCCAGCTGTGGTCCAGCCCTGAGAATTGTTCTAATGAGGGCCAATGAAAGTTCCAGGCAGCATTTATGGGTTGTTGTATTTGAGGCGGTGAGGAAAATAGGCAGTCGCATTCTTCACAACGCAAGATTTTCATGGAGGACAAGGCATTGTGTGCAACTGCAGGAGAAGTTTGTCCTCCTTCTGCCTGTAGCTGCCAGTCAGAACAGTTCTTTCACTTGCTGGCAATTTCTTGTCAGCACCTGCTTCCATGCTGTGCATTTCTTTTTCCAAATGTTTCTGCGATGGATGTGCAAACTTTATTTGACTCGTTTCCAGCCTTGCTCTTACCTGCTGCTGCATGTACATTTCTTTGTTCTGCAGCTGCTTCCTTAGTGTCGATGTCTTTGAACTCTTTTTGAGGGCTTCTCAGTTTCAACTGTGCTTATATACGTAAAATGTACTTTATGGAAGTGATCTGGAGCATCTTTCTCCTTTACTTTTTTTTTTTTTCCTTTTCCTCTTGTTTGATGTGCTTAATTATGACCTAATAATGACATACTTAAATGCCAGTGATTACAGTATGGGCACAGTACTTAGAGATGGCAAATTTTACTTAAATCTACTGGAATTTGCCATCAGGATTGTGTATAGCTTGTGGTCTCATGGGAAACACAGTGGGTGACATGAAAGCTGCCTTCTTGCTTCTTGCATTCCAGTTTTGAGGGGAAATGATCATAAAACCATTGGAGTGACTTTAATCAGACTGTGGCATTCCCCCTGCTAGTGGTATTTTTTTGCTGTAACTGGAGCAGAAAAATAGGAAAAATCCAAATATTTAAGTGTCTGCCACAGCTTTACTAATGGTACAGCTTGAGAGTCAGTACGGTTCTTCAGTTGGTTTATTTTTTTACTACAAATGTCCTCAAGAACATATTTTGACCTTTCCGAATCTGGTGCCATTTTTAATAATCCAACAAGTTTTTATATGAAGATGTGTCTCAGGTAATGTGATATTTGGGATTATTACTCATGGAGAAAATAATTATAGGCATTGCTGGGTTTGGTCTACTTACCCATGTTGTTTAATACTCTGTTCTCCTTGGTGTTTAAATCTGATAGCTTCAGAAGGTGAAACCTAACAGCAGTTATAGCTTTTCTTAGGTGTTGTTTTTTTTTTTTCCTCCATTGTTAATTTTTATTTTGTCTCTACAATGAAAAGAGCTTACACTAAGGTGAGGTATCTGCATCCTTTCTCTGCCATTGCCTTTGGATTCATTTTGCCTCGCTTCAAATAGATTTGACAGACAATCAGCACTGTCAGTAGCTTTTAGGTGTTTTCTATTTTTTTTTAATTAAAAAAAAAAATATATCAAAAAAGGCAAAAAAGAAGACCTGAAGAAATAAATCCTCATGGTGGTTGTGAGAGAATGCATTGCCCTTTTCAGTGCTTGAAAGAAGCTAACTCTTTCATGTAGAAATGTGTAGTCTTTTTTGACTAGCGGACAGAATACTGCATTGTGGTGAACCATTCTATGGGCTTATTTAACATTCTGTGAAGAGCAATACTGGTACTGGAACAAGAACAACTGTGTATTTCCATTATTCATTCATATTCTCAGAGGTGAATGGGTGAAGGATGAACTGAGGAGGCTGAATATTACTGTGAGGAGCTAAACAAATTGTACTTAAGTCAAAGCAGCTGCAATAGAGGGATTTGTTGTATGTTGCAGCCAGACACAGAGAATTTTTTTAATTGGAAAATATTACTTGCTAAGTGGATTTTATTTTCAGTTCTTTAATTGTTTTTATTTTAGGTCCTATTTAATATGGTTGTAGAAGTGCCTCGTTGGACAAATGCAAAAATGGAGGTAATGAAGAAAAATACTTGAATATATAGGTATTTATGAAAGTAGTGACAATACAGTGGGTTCCAGTATTTGGAGTTTAATCAGTGTGGATTGCTCTTTATAGATATTGTTTTTAGTTTGTTAAAATATTAACTTGAAGTTGTGCATACAGACATTGCCAGTGTGATTATAGAAAGCTCTGAGGCTGGAATTCTGCTCCCATTCTGCAGGTATTCCTTCCTGACAGCCGTCTGACTGCAGGATACTGCATACCTGCAGCAGATTCTGAGGTGCTGGGCTGCAGAACACTGTCTTACCACTTACCTTTAGTCCTGCTCACTCACGAAACACTCAGGGCAGAGGATCTGAGGCACTGGCACAGGTCGCCCATAGAGCTGGTGGGTGCTCCATCCCTGGAGACAGCCAGGGTCAGGCTGGAGGGGCTCTGAGAGCCTGATGGAGCTGTAAGTGTCCCTGTTCAATGCAGGGAGGTTGGACCAGGGCCCCTTTCATCTCAAACCATTCTAGGATTGAATTCCTCTCGCTTCCTATTGTGTAATAGCAGCCTCCTGACAAATGAGGTGACAAATAAAGGAAGTTTCCTTTTGACAAAAAAATGCATTAGGGCCTCACTCATACAAAGTATCTCCTTCTGCAGTTATTTTAACAGTAGAGCTGAGTGAGTTGTTCCTCTGCTGTTACAATGTAGAAGCTAAGTAATGCTTCATCTACAGATTTTGTGAAAGCTTATCTCATAAGGGTATTTTCTGTCTTTCTGAACATTCATGTTAGTTTTGGAAATGTTTTCCAGATGCTTTCAAGAAATTTTGTGAGTTAGCTGATGAACTATTTTGATAACTAAAAATAACCCTGAAAAACCTCCCCAGCCTCTTTGTTCAGAACTTTTTCTCTTTTTCCCTGATGCTGGAATATCACTTGAACTGTCTTTACCACCTTTGTTGTTATTTTAGAAAAAGGATTGCTTAGGATAATTGGCTTATATTGTAAGATGAAGGTTTGTTGAGGAATCTGAGTTCAGTTTTCCAGTTTTGCTCTCTCTCCCCTTCTCTTGGTATGTTACTTTGAGGGAAGAAAGATTTGTTGTCCTGATAGATTCAGAAATACTGGATTTGGATGTTTTCTGGCTTGATAGCATACCAGACATAATACACACATTTTAATATACCTGGAAGTTTCTTTGTTAGGACAGAGAGTTGACCTGCTTTGCTGTTGTTTCCTGTAAGTCCTTCAGCGCAGACTCTGGTAAGGTGACAATACCAGCCCTTCTCTGTCTCTATGCTGAGGCACCCTTGCTTGGAAGGGAGATTGTAGGAAATTAAACCTTGCTGTTGAAAGAATGTATTGCACTGCTACATTTGTTGCATTTCTCTTGTCCTTCCCTGGATTTTACTGAAGGTGCTGTTTATGAGACATTATTGGCCCTCTGCCTACTGTTGTCACTTTATCTTCTTTGCCTCAGTTTATATCAAGAAAAACCATAACTGAGCTCCATTTGTGTTGTAATCCCAGGTTCCCCATCTTCCCTGTTAGGTTATGACAAGAAGCAGTGATATCAGGTGTGAAAATAAGTGTGGAAGGGCTTATTAATGGAATAAATGTGCATTACTGACAGGGCATTGTGGCCCAAACAGTTTGAATTCCTTTAGGATGACTTTGCTTTTGGTGTTTTAGTTAAATTGTAAGGATGTTTTTAAATGGATGTGAACTAAGTGCTGTGTGCCCATGTGTATGGCCTGAACCAGCACGTGCTCCAAGCCCTTAACATGTATGACAGCATCCAGGTGAGTCAAGCTAGAGTGGGTTTTTGTTGTGATGTGGAGTGGCAAAAGGGCAGTTCAAGTGAATTAAGTAGATAGGCTGCTGGGTTTATATTTGAGGTAGTAGAAGGATTATGACAGTAATAAACTCTTTTGTAATATTAGTCCAGTCTTTCCAGGAGTGCTACTTCAGGTGTAAGAATGCCTTCTAATGCTAATTTAATTTGTTCCAAAACTAACATGAAGTTGTCATGTAGTGCCTGTGCAGAACATGTCCTCACCAAAAAGCTTCTGTATGCTTAGAAGTGATGGAGAGAAGGGATGCATGCAGTAGGAGAGCAGTGGCTGGGGGGTGGGTGTGAGGATGGTGAAATAATTCCCCTGTTGCTGTCAAAGCCCTTGTTGTCTGAAGAACTTGTTCCACCATTTGTATCTCTGTTGAAATTGTACCATAAAGAGCAAGTTCTTTTCAGTATTCGATTGACCGTGACTGTCTCCTTATAAATTTATGTCTTTCTCTTCTAGAAATAATTCCTCTGCATACTTCACAGCATTATTTAAAACCTTAATAAGCAACTTTTTGAACATGACCCTTGAGATTTACTGTGGGGCCATCAGACTATTAATACTCCTCAAACCACAAGCACATGCTCTCAGATGGAGCTGAATGGTTGGATACTGAATGAATTGCTTTTTGTTTTACAGTTCTCTCTTTCTCTTTGTCTTTCATGATCTGCTTAGATTGCCACTGAGGAGCCGTTGAATCCCATTAAACAAGATACAAAGAAAGGCAAGCCTCGATACGTGGCAAATATCTTTCCTCACAAGGGTTATATATGGAATTATGGTGCTCTCCCTCAGGTAACGTTTTTGTTATAATGGTGAAAGTTTTCTGTCTTCTGTGTAAATTGCCTTGTAAATCTTGAGTACTGCCTGAATGCAGATCAGCTGCAAGAGGGATGTTTCTCTTTGATAATTTGGAAATTAGAATTTTTTAATGTAAAACTTTATTGTCATCATAAATTTTCGTCAGAATTTGGGTGTGGGTGTAAATATGAGCTCTGTTTCAGGAGGGAGTTAAATGATCAAGAAATTTTGAATCTTCAGTTTGCAATTCAGCCTGTGAATTGTAGTTACAGAATTAAATTATCATGGCCATTCAAGAAAACTTGTTCATAGAATCACAGAATTATTTGAGTTGGAAGGGACCCTTAAAGGCCATCTGGTCCAACCCCCCTGCAATGAACAGGGACACCTACAGCTTCATCAGGTGCTCAGAGCCCCTCCAGCCTGACCTTGGCTGTCTCCAGGGATGGGGCATCCACCACCTCTCTGGGCACTGAGTCCATAGAGAATCTACTGGTGCTGAAGTCCAGCACCACAGTTCCAGCAGCTAAGGCATGGCTCAAATAAATACAGCTGAGGAAGTAGTCCTAATCTTTCACAACAAGTAAATGAAGCATTCCCATGCACCTTCCTCATCCTTACAATATATGCCTAATCTCTACTGCTCTGCTTGCCAGATGTCTGCTAGCTCCACTCTTGAGTATTATGAGAACATAAACTCTGGCCCTTAGGCAACTCTAAATCTGACAAATCAAGTCAGAAATACTTCTTGAAGTAGCCTTTTCCTGTTTAAGCAAGACAAAAAAAAACAAAAAAAAAACAAAAAAACCAACTCATTTAGGATCTCCATGTATTGCAGCATAAATGTTAATCAGGATTTCTTAATGTCTTTCAGAAAGAGGAACAAGATGCCTTATCTTTCTTTAGGTTGAACCTCAACTGCCTTAGCTAACTTTGCTCTGAACTGGAAGACTTTACTGATTGTGGCACTTTCAAAACTGTGTTTGAGTCTTCTTGAACACACGCAAACCAAAAACTAATGGCTGAAGTTTTTGACATAATTAAAGTTTTAAACAACTGTTTTTCATTTCTCTGAATAGCACATTAATGTTAAGCCAGCATTGAAGGACATGACGGAGCTAGAAAAGATAGTTTCTTTTTATTACACTTACAGCAGTGAAAATTTACTTGTGAAAACGTACTTACGCATTTCATCCCTGAAAAGGAGATACCTAGGTAGGGGGTGGAGCATAGCAATGAAGTCCTTATCCAGTTAGCAGTCTCAGTAGATAGTTTCCAGTTAGGTATTGCTAAGAACAACAAAACAAATCCATTTAACACTTTGAAATTTGTTTGCTCCTTAGTACAAAACTAAAATTAAACATCTGAATAATCTCCTGAATGGTGTGCATTTTGCTGAACTGATAAAACAGACCCTAGGAAATGCATTTAGCTCCCCTTACTACCTTGTCGGTAGCAGGGCTGGAGATGATAGTAGGTTTTCTTTTCTGTAATGACTTGAAAAGGTTGTTTGGATCCTAACACATCCAATTGTTGAAGTCTAGATTATCCTCCAGTTTCTTAGTAGCAGCTGTCACTAACTCAGAGCCTGATCCAGTTCTATTTATCCATTATCTTAAGAGGACTTTTCATCAGTGTCAGCAGTTGCCAGACGTTTCGCTGTCACGTACAAGGGAGATATGTATTTGTGACTGCTGTTTTACACCCTGGAACAAAGAAGGAAAATGTCATTAGGGATATCATTATTGCAGGAGTTGCTTTCCTGTCCAGAGAATACTGCCGTTCCTGATCTATTCCTCTTTTTATGGGAACTGCAGGTGGAGAAGTACAGCTGGGCTGGAGAATGGCATTGATATAATGAGGTCTTAAAAGAAAAAGTGCTTTGGAAGAGTACTGGAAAAATAAGTTTTAAATTGAAATTCTCCCCTTGCTCCACTTAAGAGATTTTTTTTTTTTTTTTTTTTTTTTTTTTTTTTTTTTTTGTAATACTGCTGTCTACATACTTGAGCATTTCCTTTTCAGTTCTACCTTTTAGCATCAGTCAGGCTCTCAAGAACAAGAATATGAGCTAAAGGCCTGACCATGTAAAATATTTGCTAACACCTTTTCAGCAAAAGCTCATTTGTCTTAAAATTCTTGCCAGAAAAAACTTCTCAGCTGTAGAATCATGCCTTTCATTCCAAGAGACAAAACAAGGACTGGTCTTGTAATTAGGTTATACTAATGTGGTTATGATTCCTTGTTCATACAGAGTTTAAAGCAGAGATTTGAATTTACCTCTCAGGGAACCTTCCTTAGTCTCAGTTGCTAGCTGTTCTTGGGTATGTGTACATCTGTGTATGCAAAAACTCTCACAAGTATTTCAGACCTAAATTCAAAACTTCAAAAAATTGGATGCTGACAGTACCATACCTAGTAACTTAGTCAGCTCAAAGTCTAGATGATTTTGAAGAGAACGTATGCTAGTGCAGGGACATCTAAAGAATATATTAAGAATCTGATTGTAGGGTATCTGAGTTTAAGCCCACAAGTACTGATAACAAAAAAATATATATATACATATATATATATTTATATATATATGTTTTTATATTTTTATATATATTCTAGGTCCTCTTCTGGCTTAATCACTGCTATTTCATAAAGTGCCTGTTCTGTCTTAACCAGAGTTGATCTATTTGTTGCTGTTACCTATCCTCAGTCAGTTGGTTGTCCAGAGTTTTGGTTGGTTGATTGGTTTAATTTTTTCTTTTCTGATTGAGTAAGTCTGCTCACAGTAAGCTGACTTTTCAATTGGTGTTTTTATAATCACTCAGTAATTTAGTGGTTAGATGAATAGTAATTGCAGATCAGTTGGTAACTCTCAATTCTTCTTCCATTGACAGACCTGGGAAGATCCAAACCATACAGATAACATTACAGGATGCTGTGGGGATAACGATCCCATTGATGTTTGTGAGATAGGTTCAAAGGTTTGTCATTGTCAAGATTAATTTCATGCTACAGCTTTTGGCTAAAGCTTTTGAAAGAGAATGGCTGGTGGGAAGCAAGAAAAGGTGATAGTCAATCTTGGGATGACTAAAGTATGTCTGATAGGTCTGATAATAGATAAGAGAGCAGTGTTTGTTCTTTGTGAAGTAGGAAGATATTTGGAGAAGTCTGAGTGCTGGATAAAGGAGAATATTGGAGTTCTTGGAGTTTTGTGGCTGGGCAGAGAGTTTTGAATGAAGGAAAAGAGAGTTAAGATTTTGAGGAAGGAAGGAGAGGACTTCCTTCTTTTTCCCCAGCTGTCAGCGCTAGAGATAAAGCTGAGTTACTAAAAGATGAGGAAATATGGCAGTGTCGCACAAATAAGATTAAAAGGTCAGCCCCACAAAGGGGTTAAATTTCAGTTTTCTCATGGGTGGAGCAGAGATAGACCCTCCTATAGAGGAGAAGAACCCATTGCAGTTATAAGGTATGGAGTGGGTGGGTGAAAAAGAAGCACAGTAAACACTGTCAGTAGGTATAAAGGGAAGGCTTAGCACACTGGAATAAAATCCTCTTTATCTGGACGCAGCAAAGAATGGATTAATCTGCTGTGGTACCAAAGATGGGATAATAACATAAAAGGTTTTGAAAGAGGGATCTCCTGGGCTACCTAAGGCAAGACAAAATTTAACTGGTGACCTCAGCAAACGTAATTTCACGTGAGGAAGGGAATCTGAAGCTGAATTTCAAGGGGTCCAGAGAGTGTTATAGGGGAATGTTATCTGATAGGAAGGAAGTTCCAAGGAACACGCAAAAAAAAGTTGTGCTAATATTTTTGGGTAAGAGAGTCTACAGTGTGTGTCTGCGTGTGTGCATATGCTGGAGTCTAGAGGAAGGAACAGCAAGAGACAGATGAAAAAGAGCAGAGAAAGCGGGGAGTTAAAGGGCAGGAAGGAGCTAGAAAATGCTTGAGAGACACTTTTAACTTGCAGATTGGGGCGAAGATGAGGAAGGTGGGATAGAGGAGAAGGAAAATATTCTAGCTTGTGTTATCTCCTTAAATAAATATTGGCTGGAGAATTGAGAGTTTAAGATCAGCAAGACTGGGACAAAGCTGACGTGTACTGGGTTTGAAGGTCTATCTTACAGCGTTGTTAGCTGCTGGCCAAACAGACACTAAACCATTTTGTTGGAAGAGAAATTCCAGAAAGCGTTTTTCACATATTTTTATTATTATGTTCTGTTCTAGGTTCGCTCTTCTGGTGAGGTTGTTCAGGTGAAGGTCTTGGGTGTTTTAGCTCTACTTGATGAAGGAGAGACAGATTGGAAGATAATTGCCATTGGTGTGGATGACCCAGAAGCCCAGAAAATTAATGGTAAGCATTTTTACCTTTCTTAATGCAAGATATGTCACCCATTTGAATGGTTGTACCTGAGTTTACACCACCCAGGACAAGAGGATACAGACAGCCAAGAGACAAAAAATTTTCTTTTTTCACTGCTTAAATTTAAACGCTTCCCTCAAAGTGGGCATGTATGTTTTCATACTGAACTTTTGGAAAGGTAGATGGGGATTTTCGGAGGACTTGATATACTGAAAGACTTCTGTCTTCAGGGACAATTCATTCTGAAAGAGATCTCCTAAAATTAGTCTTATCTCCATTGTAGTAGTACATATTTATCCACTCAGATTGCATAGCACACTGCTGTTTTCCTTATTGATGAAGCATTTCCAATGTTTTGTGACTTGTATCTGTGTTACTACCAGGGATTGTTGCTAATATAAACAGTAAGGTTTCTGCTATTAACTTGGAAATTTGGAAAGTGAATTTTTGATGTAGCCTTCTCTTGGCCTTGCAGATGATTGGCTTTGCACATTGAAGTATTCTGTGCAGTCTTCCTCCTTATGACTATGCTTTTGGTATCCAAATGGAGCTCACTAAGAAAAAGGTGTGCAGTAGTTTGAATAAAATGAGAGGTATAATTTTGCTTCTCTTTTTAAGAAGAGGATATAAATACATTAAAGCTGGAAGGAGTTAGGCTTTTATGGCACAGATAAGGTACAACTCTCCTCTGGATAAACAGAGCTTCATTCTATCGAGTGCAGTTATTCTGAGATTCATGAGAATTATGTGAGCTTTGTCTGGCAGTTAATGGCTGTTAAGAGATCAGAAATCATATGTACCATCAAGTCTTCATGGTCAGAGCCTGTTCTTTGTTGGCAGATCTCACCAAGGCACAGAATAGCCTTTCTTTAGGAGTAGGGGTATCCAGTAATTTTGAGGAATTGTGTTTCTCAGCCACTGAGTCTTTTTCCTGGTTTCTGAATGTAAAGTGGGTATATCACTGGCCTGGCCCTTCATTCTCAGTTTTCTTGCAGGTTGCTTTGAGGTGGAGATAGTTGCAGGAGAAAAAGGGGAGAAGAGGAAATGAGGAAAAGGAAACTCTTGGGTTGATAGTGATTGAAGTCTTGGGGCAGATAAATTACGTATAGTTCTTATGACTAACTATTTTTGCAGTTAGAGATTAACAAGTTCAGCTTGGGGAAATAGTAGTTAATTGTTTGCTGTTACTGTTTGTTTCAATTTAAACCTCCCTGTAGTTTTTATTGGGATGTGATATAAATGTCAGTAGTTTAGAGAAAAATAACGAGCATTTTATTTCTGTAATTCTTTCTGTTTATTTTCATGTTTTTTTTCCTTAACAATTTGTGGGAGTTTCATCAGAAAAGTGGATGAAAGAATTTTAAAAGAGTTCAACTGAGTAGTAGGAATAAAACAGAGAGTTTATAACACTGGATTAAGTAGCTTTGTTCTAAAACAGAAGGTTGGTTGTATTGTATTTGTTTTTGTACAGGTTATGACTGATGAGTGTTAGCTGTTAGCTTTGGTTTGTTTAGCAAGGGAGTTTGCATTTTTTAAATGCAAACCCTCGCCTGTAATTGCTGTGCATATGCTTTCTTATCAGAGAATGGAAGCAAAATTTCAAGAAGATCTGCCTTTCTGAGGTTCAGATCATAGAAAAATATTTACCTAGTTCAACATGATTTCCTTTCAGGGTTGGAGTTAGTCCTGTATTTAAAAAAAACAAAAAAACAAAAAAACCCCAACATGACTAGCTTGCAGTGTTTAACAGCAATCCTTTGTTCTAAAAACAAGCAAATCTGTTGGAGTAGGCAATACAATATATCTTTTTATAATCTTTTTTCCCTTTCCTGAAGATGTTAGTTATTTCTGCATAAAGGGACAGCAGCTGTGGATAAAACTGATATCTCCCTCAATAATTGACGTGCTGCTATGTTATCAGCAGTGGCCTCCTGGGGGAAGATGAGGCCAAGTCTGTCCAGTTGTTTTAGCATTATTTGCTAAACATTTTGAATTGAACAGAGAATCATCACATTTGCTTTCAGCTCAGTATGTGCACAGCCCCCAGTGAACATTTGGAGAAGATAATTCTAAGACTCTGGAGTGGTGATTACTTGTAAACCCCATCCTGAGCCCACGCAGTATGTTAACTCCACTTGCTGCTTTAAGCACACCCCAGGTACTGTGTATATTCTCCTTCAGGGACTGTGATCGTTCTCATAAGTGCAATTGATTTTTCTGAGACTTCGCAGAACTTACAACTGAGCAGTCCCAACTTCTGAGCGGTCCTCATTGTTTATTCATAGCTCTCCACTGTATTTTGTCCTGCAGGCGTTTATGGATAAATACTGTTTTAAATTGGAATCCCTGCCTAGAACTCCCTATTTCACGCAGAGCAGTAAAAAGCTCTGGTTTGTAGTGGCAGTACGCAGGAATGATAAGCAATACTCAACACCTGCTGGATTGGGAGCTGTGTCATCAGTGGGAAAAGCAGAGACTTTTGGAATGTGATCAGTTTGCTTTTATAGGACTTAATATGGGTGGGTGCAAGGATAATCTCTTGATATAAGCTGCACATGAGATGCAGCTGTCTATATGAGAAATCTTCGTTTAGTCTAATATCTAGATGTTCAGGTTTTTATCTGGTTCAGTAAGATCTGTCTTTGTGATACCTGGAAACCACTGTGTTGTCTTTCTGCTCAAGCAATTGCTAGCCAGATGGTTATTAACAGACCAACAAAATTGCTTCAGACAAGGATCTGGGAAGGGGCCTAAAAGACTCCCTGTGCCCTGAAACACTAAATCTTGGCAGTATAATAGACCTGGCTTTTTTTTAAATGTAGCATACCGGCCAAGAGAAGAAGCAGATTCTTGGACTGGAAAGGCTGCCTGTCTGCTCATCGTGTAATTTGGATTGAATTTAATGCTCTGAAATTCACATGTATATCTGATGTGTTTTACAAGATCGGGTTTAGAAAGGATGAGCCCTGTTTTGGTGCTGTAATTTGGTCTCAATGTATGCATCATCTTCATGTTGGAAAAGAGATTCTGAAAGTGACTGACAGTTGAAGCCACTTACGAAAGGTCTGAGTTTCAAGAGGTTGTTTTGCCTGCCCAAGATGAATTGGGCCAATTGTGTATGCTGGATGGCATTTCTGGGGTGATTTACTGGCCTGGGATTTTAGCAACCATTATATACTATTGCTTGGTGGTAAGATCCCCAAATACATTAAACAAAAGTTGCTGATTTCTACCAGCTTTGTTGTACTGCAGTTTGCCGGTAGTGATGTAATTAACTGTGATACATTGTCATGCTTCTTTCCCAATGTACAACTCAAGATTGGCTTTTTTGAATTTACATGATCAAGCCTCAAATGGCAAAAATCAAGTATATTGCACATTTTGACCGGTATGTTGTTTTATACTCTTGCATATGAGTGTATTTATATGCAGAGCAGCAGCAGAGGCCATGAAAACCTTTGTTGTGGATTTGTGTAAGCATTAAATATAAAGGAATTAATTATCTGTACTAGGGCTCCCCCTCCTACTCCCTCACACCATGCTGCACGAAATACACCAAATGCCTTTATATGGAATGTAGCTGCTGCTTCCTGTGAATGTTTATAAGATGTTATTAAAAACATATGTCCTGTCTTCCTACAGACCTTGTTTAGAAAGCTTGCTGCTAGCATGTTGTTTTAGCTTCGCTTGCAAGAAGCAGCATCTGTCATACTAAAAATGGTAGTTCTGTACAAATGCTTTTGTCACTCCCTTTTGTAAAGCCTGATAAAATTGGGAGCTGCATTTGCATTGGCTTGCTCCTTTGACAGAGAGCTAGCAGCAGTTGTTTGTGCCAGCCTCTCGAGATTTTTATTATTGAGGCTGAATTGCAGCCTTTAACATGATTAGCCATTTTTTTAATCCTGGTTGCTTAACTTTGCTGCCCAGAAAAATGGGACCTGTGGTTGTGTGTAGGCAGTACAAAGAAATCTCCCCATAGTACCTGCTGGATATATGTGCTGAAAATGTGCCTGCAGGAGCTTGACCTTTCTGTCTTCTGCCACGCTGAGGGCTTGCAGTGATGAAGTCACATTTGGCCAAGTACATGCTTATTGCTCCCATTCGTGCTTAGCCTCCTTTGCTATCAGTGGGAGTACCCAAGTCAGAGGAGGAGTAAGATCAAGGACAGTGTCTGCTATGGAGAAGACATTTATCTCTTATTTGTTTGTGTCTCTCTCATGATAAGCAGCTCGTTTCTATAGGTATTAATGTACAAAATCTCTGTACAGATTATTATATTGCCTTTTACCTTTCTTTGCTTGCTCTTCTGTTGTCTGAAGATATTTGTCTCTACTTCCACTTGGTACCCCAAAGATGCTGGTTGGATTTCAAAGAAAATGGGAGACATGCTTGTCCGTGGTGCTTTTTAATAAACCAGAGAGGTAGCTGCTGAGTGATGGGGGAGCTGCAGTTTGCCTTTATTTTGTGCTGTGTGTGGACTCCACAGCAACAGGGTTGATTTTTATTTGTTTTTTAAGTTGCCTTTTCTCCTGCTGCTTGTCCACCAACTCCCATTATAATACAATTTTCTTTTTTTAGTCAACAGTTTAAGGTCCATTTGGTGCTCTGTAGCTAGCAATCATAATAAGGAAAAGATAAATAAAACATGGGAAGGGTTGGCTGAGTTGGAGAGTGGTTTGGGTGGAGCTAAGGAAATACGAGCAACCACTATCCCTCTTAAACACTCAGAAACACAATATACAACATTTAGTACTTCAGAGGCTGTGTGATGGTACAGCATTGCATGGGCCTGATTTGTTTTACCTATGCCAGCTATTTTCCAGTAGTGAGAAAGTGAAATTCAGAGACGATTCTGCCCATGAAGGTCAATGTCCTTGTGTTAAGGAGGTAATAGTCTTACTCCAAAGCCTTTTCTGTTATTTGGGTCCTCTAAACAAACATCAACAAAGCCTATAAATAAGGAATGCCAGGGGCTCACATGTCACTTGGTAGTTTTGTACAAATAAACAATAAAGCACTTCTGTTGAACAGTGTTTGTGGGAGTAGGAGGCAAATGACCTAGTAAAAAGAACGGAGAGGCAGAGTTAGGTGAGAGGTTTATCGGAACAGGAACCAGAAAAAAAGGAGCAGCAGTCTGAGAAAGCATGCTTGAATTTAAGCAGTGTCTGGAGACAGAAACCTGGAGTTCATCCACCACTGGGAGTCTAGGAAACTGCTTCAGCAGACTAGTTTGCTTTACAGACTTTACAGTATCTCTTCAGTAAGTACTAGAAAATGTGTGTTCAGACCTTGCAAGAGGAGGAAATCATGAGGGGTCAAGATGGGAGGAAGGACGTTCGCTTCTTCAGAGAGAGAACAGGATCATGTGCTGGAGCCTGGTTTGAATTGGAGCTGTTGTTTTATTAGAGCCTGAATGAAGCATCTTGCCTCTGAACAAGATGACTGTTTTCTGAATCATTTGTTCTTTGTTGATCTCACAACTGTGGAAATGTTCTTGTACTCTTAAATGTGCGTTCTAGCTTAGAAGACCTGCCTCCGGCACAGCCTTATGTGCCCTTGTTTTTTCTCTGGGATTCTGCCAGTGAAACTCCCTAATCTTCTACAGGCACATGGCCAGCAGCCAAGTTCAAAATGTGTTTTACTCAAGTCCATAAACACATAGCTCTATTAAGTGTGTGCAGAAGCAAAAATGTACCTTGGGTTCTACAAGGTTTTGTACTTCATTCTTTCGATAATGTATGATCCAGAGGAATTTGGGAGTGGTATCTATCAGATGCCTATGAGTACTTAGCGTATGTTCCTGTGCACGTTTGGTCTCACAATTAAGTCTAAATGTCATCTCTCTCAGCAGCCTGCAGAGAATTGAGAGGTCTGTAGAATTGTGAAGGACTGGAAAAAGTCCAGTGCTGTTCCCTTTAGAAATGTCCTGGTTGGGTTCACAGACTAGACTTTAAGAAGACATTTAGGCACTTGAAGATAAAAAGAACATAGCTAGCTGGTAATCTGGTAGACTGAGCACCTCTGGAAATCCATTACAGTGAGTAGGGCTGAGTAGACAGAGGAGCATCTACCAGCAGTGTCTGCGAGCCAGGAGCTGTCTTCAAGTGAGATGTATCTATGGGAGAAGAGAATGAAGTAGCCGAGCAGTGTGGTGAAAATTGAGATGCTAGGAAGGCAGTAAGGGAGTAAGTCACTTGCAAAACAGCAGAGGAGAATAACACCATAGAAGATGGACTGGGCAGAGTGAGGTTATGAAATAGATGGAGAACTGCATATAACACACAACAATAAAAAGTCAGCTCCCATTTCCATCAGGAGTGACTGTAGGAGAAAAATAAATGCGAAGAAGAGAGCTACACTGGCAAAAAAAAGTGCTTGGCTTCCAGAAAGGACAAAATCCTTGTATCACAATGAATAAAAATTGCACTGAGGGCTTTTCTATTTAAAAATGATGTCAGAGAACTAATTTGACAGAGAGTGGATACTCATATGGGTGAAGCCCACCTCACTTCAAGTGACAGGAGTGGTGGTAGCCTCCCAGGTAAACCAGGTAAAATTGTTTATGTGCAGCAGAAGGAAATAGGAAGTGTTTAAGATCACAAAGTGCATAGCAGTAAAGCCCTCAAGCAGCACTGAGTACTTATTCTGTACCCACTGAGACAGTGTTCATTTCTGCCTCCTAAGGGTGCCCCACAGATGACGGGTGTTCTGTGTGTCCTTTTCCACCTTTGCACAGTAGAGCTACAGAGGTAAAAGGTTATCTGGTTTATCACGGTCTGCAAGTACCATGGGATTTTCAGCAAAGTTTGTGTTTAATGCTCCTGTAACATATCCTTCTTGTATCTAATGGGTTTAACTTAGAATTAACGAGCAAAGAGATGCCTTTAATGTAACTTTTGAGGAGTGAGGACTATTTTGTTTTGAGGTGGTGATTTAAAATCTTACAGATTTTAATCTGATTGTTGCAAGAGAGTGCCTATTGAGATGGAAACCTATAAATATGGAGTTTTCTTCTTCATTTCATGGGTATGGCCTTTCTATTCATTGTTCCCTTGGGTCTTAATTAAGGAAGAGCAGGAGGTAACTGTTTAGTCTGGTGCTAAAATCATAAAATATCAACTATGGATAGCTAATGTAATAAAGTGGAGTTCCCCAATAATTTTGAGAGTACTCAGTTAAATCAAATTGCTTAGCAAGCCTTTGAGCCTTTAAAAATTGCAAAAAAAAAATCTGAGTAAAAAAAATGGTCCATATTCTTCCTTCGTTCTGTTTTATTTCACCTGCAGATATTGATGATGTCAGGAAGCACAAACCAGGTTACCTTGAAGCTACGATTGACTGGTTCCGGTGTTATAAAGTCCCTGATGGTAAACCAGAAAATCGGTTCGCTTTTAATGGAGAATTTAAAGACAAGGTAAAGATAATTCAAAATTAAAGATAGATCTTTCTGTGCTGTGACCTCTTTGTTACGTTCTAGAATTGTTGGAATTGGAAAGAGAGAGGAGCATTAACAAAAATAATTTTTAAATGAAGGTATTCACAGAATCACAGAATCACCCGGGTTGGAAGGGACCTCAAGGATCATGTAGTTCCAACCCCCCTGCCTAGCAGGGCCACCAAACGTACACATTCAGATCAGGTTGCCCAGGACCCCGTCCAACCTGGCCTTGAACACGTCCAAGGACGGGGCATCCACAACCTCCCTGGGCAGCCCGTTCCAGGGCCTAACTACTCTCCTTGTAAAGAACTTCCCCCTAACATCCAACCTAAATCTTCCCTCCTTCAATTCGAATAGGAATAAGTCATGTTTACTGTCTTTCACTTTACTCAGAGAAAATTCATATGATATGAAAGGAAGTCTGTAGAAAGCATTCAGTCCCAGCCCTGATATGACTTACACATACATGTGTAGGTTTGTGTTGCTTGTCACAGCTTTTTCATTCTGTTTGTCAGAGAAATGAACAGATTGTCTTTTCAGATACTTTTTTCAGTCTTGATTGATGAATTTTCCTGGCATTTTTCAAGACTGTGTAGTTCAAGGTAGACAATAGATTGCAGATTTTCTCATATTTGATATTTGCTCAAGGTGTAGGTTTTTCTGGGTAGATCTGAACATTTGAGCTGTTTTTTTGGCTTGAAGGCTAAAAAATACTTTGACCTTTTTTAGAAAAAATGAAAGGCTGTTTAGACATCCTGCAGGAAAAATGGCCAGAAAGGAGAATGGGCCTGGGAGCAGACCTTGCTGAATAAAATGCCTAGATTTTTCCAGAGGAAATCACATGTGATCTGAGTAAAAATGCATTTCAAATAATGTACTGTACGCTCTGTAGACTTTTTCTTGCGAAGAATCACAGGTTTCTAATGAATGGTGTTCATGTGTCAGCTAGTTCAGCTTGCAGTGTGCTATCAAAGTTGTAAAACGCCTTTTAACCAGCACAGTTAGCTTTGCGCGTTTTGTCTGTTTAAAGAGATGCTCCGACTCCCCTCTGCACTAAAGCTGTCTTTTAAATCAATCAAATGTAGAGTTGTAAGGATGGATAACGTGATCTCTCACTTGTTCTCCCAGGAGCTACTCTTTCAAATTTTCCTGCTCTGTAATTCTACTGTAGCGACAGTTTAATGGGGGTATATCCCTGTCAGGCCATCAGAGTTCAGGCTCGAGGCACTAAATGCCCTGACATAGCTGGTTTGGAGCACTTGAATAATTCTCAAGCATTTCTAGAGACCCAGGATGTGGTGAGGCAGCCGTGGCTGAGCTCCAACATCTGGTGAAGTTCACAGTGTTCCAGTGGCATTTTGCCAAGTCACTCCTTGTTAGGAAGTGTGTGTTCTGTTGGCAGATTTTTGCTACTCGGTCTAGATATCATCATCTGAACACTGAGGGCTTTTAAAAAAAGTTTTACCACTTTTTAATTCCCCCCTCCCCTCTTCATATTACTTTGGTTTTTAAACAAACAAAAGTCGTTAAGCAGCTGACAACGTTACGTTGTTTGTCGCAAATGCTTGAGTGAACAGTTGGGCAATTAATGAACTAAATGCACATTTTGCCACTGGAGAGTAAACCTTAACTCTGACCCTGATGTGCACACGTAACAGAAGAGTCATATCTCACACACTTTGTCCCATTTAGGACCTGGTATGATTTTCTGCAGCTGTAGGTGTCTGTTTAACATCTAGTGCTGACTTCGTTTTTTCATGCAGCTTTCCTGTTTTCTGGCTGCGGACTGAGGAAAAGTCCTGAATATGTTGCCAGTGTGTTTGACAGATAGTGAAGCTCAGTTTTTTTTCATAAAAAATGCTGTTATATTTCCCAGAAATTTAATGAGGCCTCAAAGGAGGTCCCTTAAAATAACACATGAGCCAGTGTGTCTTAATAAACTAGTTCTATGTCTTTTTTTTCTGTTTAATAACCTTTTAAATCATAACATTTTTCCTTGATGTAAACTAGGATTTTGCTGTTGAAATTATTAAATCAACCCATGAATACTGGAAAGCTTTGCTTCATAAAAAAACGGAAGGAGGTACTGTTAAATGGTAAGTATCCAGCCACATCTTTCTTCTTTGCATTGTGCTGGGGCTGTGGCAGCTGTGCCTCAACTGCTTGGGTTTTACTTTGAAGTGACAAAAGTACCCGTGATTTTGATTGATCATTGACTATCATCGACTAGTTGCACCTTGTACGATAATGATTAACTGGCTGTAAGTGGTTCTAGAAATTTTTTTGGTTATATCAAAACGACATACATTATTTGAACTTACTAATAATGGCTCTGGAGGGTTTGATATCACTTTGGGAGATTGACACAATCCCATGCAGATCTTGCTGCTGTTAGTTCTGTCTTTTGGTGCTGTATCGCTGTGATGTTCTTTTGCAGCTTTGGGTTCCATAATTTTATTTAGTTGTTCTCTGAACTGCCACATCATTGCTCATTACCAGCCTTTGACCTCATCTAAATTAAAGTGAACTACACTAAGCTTTCCAAGCTGGCTCGTGTTGGCATTTCTGGCACCAGTGGCCTTGAATTGTGGAGAGCTATCTGGACTGGTGATTTTCAAGGGCTGTGGATTACCTTTAATTAAACCAGAGGGCAAAGGCTATGGGGGAGGCCTTGTCCTCTTCTACTTTGTTGGCAAAATGTGACTCTTGAGTGACTGAGCACTTAACACGTGTTGGTAGTTCTGCAGGCTGTAGGTCTGCAAGAATATTACAGGAAATATTCAGACTTTGAGTCCTGATTGTTTAAGGGCCACTTTGAACTTGTTGATGTAGTTTAAAAATAACTAAAAACTCAGTCTGGCTTTGAAAATTAATGCCATTTGTTGTTTAAGACCCTAAAAACTCAAGACCAAACTCACTTCTGCTGTGAACAGATACATATTCATAGTCTGCAGAGAAAGTTGTCTGAAAAATAGTTGGCCCCGAAGTTGTGTCTGCATTATGGAAGTACTGATATCTGCTGCTTTATGGAAAAAGCAGAGTTTTGACCTGCTTTTTGTTTTAATTCTTTCTCCTTGCTATATGCTGCAGGCAGTTTACTGTTAATATACGAGTGGCTTGCTGTAGAATTTGGCCATCCTTTAAAGTGTAAGAGACAAGGGGTAATTCATGCCATCACTGCTAGCCATCTAGGTGGTGTTCAGCTCCCTGTAGAAATGCCAGTTTCTCTGTTGACTTTTCAAGGGGATTTGGTTTATTAACTGCAGTCCTCTGAACTGTACTCAAGTGAGCTGCCAGAAGTAAGTGTGAGTACTGCTTATGTTAGTGTAGAATTTATAGCCTAAAAAAAACCCAAACCCAGAGAAACTCTCATTGCCTTCCAGTGTTACTTGTTACTGTGCATTTTTGGCTTCCTCATTTCATGAGTGATACATTTCTGAGCTCTGTATGTGAAAATGTTTTGTTATTTTTTTTCCATAGGTACTAATTGTGTGTTGTTTCTTTTCCATTGATAAAATATTTTTTAATTTTTCAGCACAAATGTTCTGGTGAGTGGCAGCCCTTTTTGTTGCAGTGAGGAGGAGGCCCGATCAATTGTGCAGTCGGTGAGGACAGTTCTTACTTTATTTCACCCTCTTTAAAAAGCAATAAATAGGAAAAAAAAAAAAAAAAAAAACCAAACCAAAAAAAGCCTCGGAGCTCCAAAACTGAGATAAAATACCTAAACTGGTGTGGTCCCTAATTAAATAAAAAATTAAGGTATTAATTGAAAGAAGAACACAAATGTTGTGGGGTAAGTGTAAGCATCATAACAGAAAGCTTCTATTGCAGTGCTTCAGTTGTATTTTCTGGCAGGCTCATTACTGTTCTGATGTGTTGGATTTTTCTTTTGATCCTGAATAGCAAGAGGGACTGCTATTTGTATCTAGCCCACTGTCTTCTCTGTCTCCCCTGTTGCCAGGAGTTACCACCCAGTGTTAGAGCTCATTGACTAGCTGACTGTAGTCCCTAATCGCTAAAGGGGTCCTTTGTTTGTCTACTTGCATAATTGAGTGCATTGCTGTAAGAGAAGGGAGTGCTTTTCTGAATGTTTTGTAAAGAATGCCTGTCATATTTTGCAAATCAACATAAAATTAAAACATGCAGGTTTCCTGTTCAGGCGAGGAAAATGTCCTGCAGGTCTGATACTTTTCATGTGCAAATGCAAGAGAATTTCTTCTACTTTAAAATATGCTGGCTTGGATGCTGGAATTTAAACAAAGTTTCAGAAATTAAATGGAGAAAAATACCTCCAAGTGTTGCGTTTAACGAATCATCGTTATTTTACATACGCTATGAATGTGTCAGTGCTTATGGCAAGTGTTTTGCTCACATGCATAACTGCTTGGGTAGCTAACTGACTCAGGCTGTGCACAGTCAGTATTTTGCCCAAGTAGTCACAGCAGCAGTGGAAGTTCAGATGTTAAAGGACATGATGTCTGCTTTCTGTGCAGGTAACATTCCAACACAATTTATGCTAAGAATGTTGTCTTAAACAAACAAGATGATCAGGTGCAGAAAAGTCAGCTTAAGTCACAAAGAAGTGTCAAAACTTTTTCCTGTTCATGTTACATGCTTTCAGCATATCCTTGAAAATACCTTTACGTACTTGCACTTCTCTGTGTGTTTAGGTCCATGTTGTTTAATGGGACTCCGAGTTTTAAATGAAAGAAAAATTGATTTTGGAATTCAGACATTTAAGATATGTCAGTCACAGCTGTCAGAAAGTATTTGCCTTTTGTATATTTTGAAATTTACAAATCATGTTTTGAGGGCATTGAAATGCAACTCAAATTTCAAGTTCAAATGTACTCTGGTATGAATGGTGTCAGACCTTTTCTTTCAAGTTCTGTGCTATTTGTACTTTTGAATTGAGGGGCTAAATAATTATCTGTCTAAAACAGCAATGTCCACTAGTTTATTAATCATCAAATAATTATTTTTCCTGTTTTGTCTTTTTTGGTTTTGTTTTGCATTTTGTTATTGTTTTTTTTGTTTGTTTTGGTTTTTTTTTGATGGGGAGGGAGGCAATATTAAGTCTCATTTATAAGACACATCCTCTGTATCAAATTCTAACATCTTACTTGTTTTGCACGCTTGCCTTTTTATCAAATGTTATCACTTCTGGCCCTTCTGTGTCTGGCATTATTTTGTGTCTGACATATATGATATTGTTTTCTTGAAGTTATCACAAACTTCATCATTCAGTTAGAGTTCATTCTAAGCATTTTAATTGGCTTTATAGGCTACCATCTCTTGCTGCTTTTCAGATGGGGAAAATAGATGCAGTTCTATTTTGAGTGCTGCTGTTACCGCATGCAATTTCCAACCTGCGGTAACTAAGAAAAGCACAAATGCTCTTGAAGTAAGAATGGTGTACAGTCAAGCTCAGAATGCAAGCAGGGAAGCTGACTTGCACATTTTAAGCAGATTTCCTTTTGTCTGGTACACTGTACTGCCCACTTTGGTTGTCAGGCACTCATGTCTTTCACACAAAAGTGAAACTACGTGAGTGTTGGCTGCAGAATTTTAATGGCTGTGGTAGTTTTAAATGAAAGCTGCCTGTGTCTGGTTTGGGGTTTTTTGCTTGTTTTTTTCTCATTGTGGGTTTTTTTTGTTTGGGTTGGTTGGTTTTTTTTTGTTTTTTTTAACTGAAAGCAGATACATTTTCCTTCTAATTTATGTTCATTTATTAATTTCTGGACAATAGCAGAAGAGCAAAAGCAGAGGTAGAGATTTTATCTGCATAACGTGCAGATTTTATCTGCAAAAATGTATTTTTGCTTTTGCAAAATTTCTGAGCTTACTTTTCCAGTGTGAGTTGTTTCCCTATACTTCTGTTTCTGCAGCCAGGTTATGGAGTTTCTTAACGGGTGATATTTACCTTAAGTCGGATATTTTGAATGCTAAACAAAAAAAGAAATTTCAACACTCAGTATTATTGTGGGGTTTTTTTGTGTGTTTTTGGATTTTTGGGTTTGTTTTTTGTTTTTTGTTTTTGTTTTGTTTTGTTTTGTTTTTTTGTTTTGGTGGGCAAGAGAACTGCAGCTAAGATACGAAACAAATCCTGAAGAAGTGCTTACCAAATCATGCTGTAATGAGAATATTAGGTATTTTTGCTGGGGTAGTTCCCAAGATCATCTCATTCAAATTGATAGGATTTATTTTGCTGATATTTGACCTTTCATTGTTTTACAGACATGGGACTAGAATGGTTTGGATTTAGGGCATTTCTGTTCTGCTTAGCTAGTTTACACATAGGGAGCTGTCGTCTGTACTGATGGCAAATTAGGAATAACTGCAGCTGCTGAAGTTGCCATGTCCAGTCAATTCCGAAGAGATCAGAAGATGATGTGTGCATGTGGGACCACATACAGAATGTTTGAACCAGCCAGAATTATTCTGTCCCCCTGCAACTACAAGCCCACTTGGGTAGTAACACTCCAGGTGATGAAAATTTCTGCTGTTTCTTTACATCTGAAAATTGTTTCATCTTTCTCAGCTTCAGTGTTAGTACATGTTGAAAACTAAACCCAGGAGGAACAGAGTTTTGTAGCTGAACGTGTTAGCTCTAAGATGTACTGTTTATTTCAGGCTTTCAAGTGTTGCCATCTGTAAAACTGACCGGGACAGCCAAACCTTTGTTTAGCATTAATCCTGAGAACTGCTTGCTCACTTGCTTTGAGGAGGAGCCGCTGAGGACTTTTGAAGTTGGAAAATCTCCAAGGCAATCTATATATAGTTAGTAGTGCAGTTTCTCAGACTTATCACATAATTCCTCCCTTATAGTGCTGGAGAGAAAATGAACTAAGATCGCTTTGCTGGATGAGGTATCTTTTGATTAAAATGCAGAAAAATGTCTTGCAGGGGAAGATATTTGACTTTTCCTGGCAGTTTAGAAAAACCTCCAGCAGAGTTTGGATATGTGTATTTACTAATATGTTTGTAATAATTTAGATCTAACCAGGAAAGCCTACCAACTGCCTCACTTCTTGTATTTCTTTTCTCTCTGAGCAGTCTTTTCCATTTGGGACTTCAGAGAAGCAGAATTTTCAGTTTAGTGCCAGGTTGTGACCCATAGGGTTGGGCATGGAGAGGTGATATCCTAAACAAAATGATACAGAGTGGTTGAGGCTGAAAGGGACTGCTTGGGATCATCTAATCCAAGCCCCTTGCTTCAAGTAGGGTCACGTGAAGCAGTGTCTCCGATGAAAGGATTCTGTAGCAAAGAGGTTCTTGGTTCAGTGGAATGAATTTTTGACCTGTTCTTGGTGGGAAGGTGCCAAGTCCTTGTCTTAAGTTTTCTGAGCAATTGATGCAGAAGTGGCAAGCACCTGCTTCTAGATAGTGACCACTGGTTCTCCCTGCCTTGTGGAAAAAAAGCTTTGTGTTTGTCTGGAAGGAAAGATAGTGGTCTGGTGATAAGGCTGGCACATCCATTCAGACCTGTCACGTAACCCCTTTGTGCACATATTTAAAGCAGGAGAAAGAATGCTGCTTTTTAGCTTTCCTCCTCAGAGACTTTGACTTGCTGTTGAGCAGAGCAAACCCTCCTTCTGCTTGGAGACAGCCAGGCCTAACCAGCTAAACTGTGAGCTCAGTTTGAATGCTGCCCTGTGCTCAACCCACCTGCGCTGCCTATGGCTCAGCCTGCCTGCAGAGTGCTTCAAGGCTTTCACTGACGTCTTCGCATGCTGCTACAAAGGCAGGAAGTTCCACCTAGCAATGCAGATGATGTGTTGCAGCTTTGTTCTCCCGAGGCTTCAAACTTGAACCTTTGAGGCTCTCTTTGCTGCATGGTTCAGCCAAATCAATAGTCCTGGGGTTGTGTGTTCGGGTAGGTCTGTTTGGAACAGACTTGTGTCATGTCAGTGGCCAATGTCCTCCTGTTGTTTTGTACTCTAATTGTGTGTGGGGAGCGTGAATGTTACAGTATTCCTTATGCTGAGATGCTGTTTCTTCCACATCAATCAGACTTGCCCATTTGTGAGGAGCTGAGGGATGATGGACAGAGAATTGTTACCGTAAGAGTGGCTAGCGTCCTCATTGTGGGGAAGATGTTTCCAGCTGGTGTTAAAACCAGCTTTAATGTCATCCCTTAAGTAGTAGGACAAGACATGCTGTGTAATACTGTGATTGAAGAGTGTATCCAGCTTTGAAATGAACCAGAAGTGACAGACCTATATTTTAAAACAATTTTCACTCTGTACAGCACTGACTCCTTCTCTGTCAAAATGTAGTTGTATGAGTATGATTACATATTTATTTTAAAATGTTTGCCTACCTGTAATACAAACTGTGTATGTTTGTGCATATACACATATGCTCTTATATGTATCTCATAATGAAATATACAGATGTATAATAAAGTAATTGGAAAGGCATTTTCATTCTGTAGCATGTAAATGGAAAATCCTGTTATCTTCTAAGACAGTGTAGTAAGATAGATATATGTTAGAGATGGCATTAATCTGTCACTCATTATTTTGCCTGTTTTGTCATTTATTGTTACCTCTTGGCTTCAGCAGTAAAATAGCTTTGTGTGTTATCTGTCAAACAAAACACTGACAGTGTTTTTTTGTTGTTGTTTTAGGCGTCAGTGCCTGCGAATGGAGATTCTGTTTGCCCAGAAGGTATATTCTTTTCCCCAAAATACCATATAATTACTAATGATTTGCTTTAAAAATGAACTTAGAAACTGTCCTATTGAAAAAGGTGTTTCTGTCCACACGAGCATGATGGATATGGTTTTGTCAGACTGAGGTGCTTGTGCTCTGTTAAATAGAACATGGGAAGCAATTTCTGAGTTGTTTGTGGGAGATTGCTTTTAAGGGTGAATGAAAGTGCAGTTCACATGAAAAAGATGAGAGGACTAAATATTTTTTCATCTCTTTAGTCATGGAAGATAGATGCATTACATTTATCCTTTCTAAAGGAGAAAGGTTGCTTTGCCTTACTTTTTTGTTGCTCTTCACAGTAGCTAACTAATCAGCTAAACAACCTCTTTTCTTAAAAGTGATACAACCACGCTCCTCAAGTGTAATTTTTAAAGACAGAATTCTCTTTTTACTTTTGACTGGTTTTCATGTTAATGGAACATGTGTTTTTAGTCAAGAAATAAAAGCAAATCCTAGATTTTCATTTTTGTTAACTATTAGGAAAAAAAGAGAGATTTTTGTCCTGGCAGGAGCTACAGACAAGGCATGCACTTTTTGAGATGGAAGGAAGCACTAAGAGAAACTTAGCCGTGAGTCAAGTTCCGAATTGTTTGCAAAGTAACATCTGTGTCGGCTGTGTCATGGGAAAGTTGCATTCAATTTGCCCTTATATGGCTTGCCAATAAATAGCTTTTATTTACTGGAGTTTTGCATCTCAGATCGTTGACAAACAACTGAACGTAATCTTTGATTTTTTTCCAAGGATGGTCATGTCAATATGTTAAGAGTTGTTTCAAAATTATTTCAGGCAAACAGTTAAAGTGAACAGATATCATTTTGAGGACAAACTTTACATTGGCTAGGGATAGAGTTTGCCCAGAAGTATTGTTATGAGAGAGGAGATTATTGGAAGAACTGAATGTTGTTTTTTTAAGTGTTTGTGTCAGGCTGGTTGTATAGAATTAATGTCATTCTTGATGTGTATTTTTTGTTTTAGTTGATTCCTGGTACTTTTTTCCACGTGATCATTGAAGTGTTCTGAAGCCACATCTTCAAATCTTAAGTCATCCCATTTTTGAAGAGAGGCACTAATGGTTGGGTTCCCGTTGTGACAACTTTTCAAACTATGTAAATCTTTGATCATGTAAATAAATGCTGACATTATAAAATTGATGTTTCCTTTCTATGTCTGTCTTTGTGAAGGGTGGAGCAAAGAGAAGAAGAGGGCTTGCTTGCATGTTTGTTTCTGAATTGTAGACCTCCAGGATTGTTCTGATCCACTCATGACATGTAATGTCAAATGAGATGGGTGATAAGTTGGCTTCAACTTTGCTCTCCAGATTTTGGAATAATCCAGTCATTGGGTGCATAGAAGGCTGTGTTAAATGGTATCTCGGGCTTGTCTGGCCACCCTGACTGTAATCCTTTTCAAGCAGACAATAATCTTTATGTAATAGGCTTAGCGGTTTACCATGTTCTTTAAAATGCAACTGTGCTTGGTTTCCTGAATTGTGTTCATTTTTGTGCCCAGTTGTCTCTGCTTCGCAGAGTTATGGTCAGAGTAGATTTGCTTTTACAAAAACAAATACAACTGTACTGAGTAATTCGGCTAGGAAGGGCTAATGAATGCTGTAACAATTGAAGCAAGGATGCACATGTGCTCTGTGTGCTGCATCCTGTTTTTGATAAGTTATGTTTCATCACACAGGAAGGACTTTCCTTATGGAAAGCTTCCATTTTTAGAGTTGTGTGTGCCTGAAGGTTTATGATAGTTCCTCATGCAGTAAGATAAGATTAATAAGTTGTGTAGAACTGAGCTTTGTTTGTTTGTGGTAAAAATATCTGCTTTTTTTTTTTTTTTACTGCAGTGTTCTATTTGGCCTATGGCACTGTTAAATATAGGGGGTTTAGATGTAAGGTGTACGAGAAATGCAGCATAAACCTCAGAAACTAAGAACTTTTCCTTTTTTACAGTTACCTTTGCAGTATCAATTAGTTACACTTTGTGGTACACTTTAGAATTCTAAGCATACAGCACTGTACCTACAGATATAGCGGCCTTTTTTCTTTTCCTTTATTTTTTCTTAATTGAGTAAAGGTTGCCCTGTCTTGGTTTATGTTCTGCCTTTCACTATGAAGGTATTCTGATCACAGGTAAACTCTTCTAGAGTGCAGAACAGCTGCTGTATGTAGCTGTATGGTGGCATGTCTAGGAGGCTTGTCCTGCCAAGTGCTTAGGGACAGCTCAACAATGCAGGGCACTGTGTAAAATCAAATTACTTTCCCTGTCTGTTGCTCATTGCTGTTTTCTTTTGATTTTTGAGACATCAAATGAAAATTTGTACATGTGAATAGCAGGTGTTGACTACAAACTTATCCATGCTGAACTATCAGTGGTAGATCAGAAGTTAGGTCATTTTTTACCTTAATTTTAGTGGGTTTTTTTTTTCAATTTATAGCTGTATTGAAGGCATGTGATAACGAATTAAGCAGAAATAAATCTGTAGAACAAATTAGACCTTGTGCAAGAAACTAACAATAGAGAGTGCTTGGAAAAATGAACAATTTAAATGACCAGAAATGACCAGTACTATCATAAATTGGGAAATATTAAAATGCTTATTTCATGAGGAGATGAATGTCTTGTCATCAGACCACTTTCAACATCTGCTTTCATATGTTTTCTGCAGATTTTTCCCAAGGACATACAGTTAGGTGTAACCTCACTGCTAAAACATACCAAATGTCACTGATGTAGGATTCAGAAATGAGATGTTCTGAAATTGCTGTGGGAAGAATGTCTGCGACTAAGAGTGTATAATGTATACAATTCTTCCAAGAGTTACTTTGTATCTCCAATGTTTTCTTCTTTCCCTTTTGGAGAGAAAGAAGTTACTTTTTTTTGTTGTTTTTTTTTTTTTTTTTTACTTGTTAAAACACTGCCCTTAAGGTTCTTTTTACATGTGTAAATCATTAGGTGCTGCTCAGTATAGTATCTTTTACTGACCTGGAGCCCACATTCAGTCCACCCAGTGAAGAACAGGGCTGGAGTTTTACTTACAGAGAAATAATGCATGTTACTTTTTAAAGAGGGAAAATAATAGGATTGTGAAAACAATATGCTCTTGTCACTGTTGGGATGTTATTTTCATGTCTGTAGTAACAACAGACATCTTTTGAAAGTCCACAGAAGAATAGAAAGTAATTCTGAAGTGTGTTTGGGAGATCTTTGTACTGACATTATGTGAGGACAGTGCCTAAATGCAGCTTGCCTGTGGTTGCTATTTGTATTAACACTCGAGGGTTGTGGCATGAAGTGCTCCTGAACTGACCCAAGCACTAATTTGTGCTTCCATTTCCTTTGGCTGAGATTGAACTTTTTAATGGATTTTATTTCCAAGGGCAAACGCAAAAAAGCCAAGATCTTTGCAGTGGATTACCACTTTGTGATTATTTGCTTTCTTTGTTGCTTATTAATTTATTACTAATTCTTGTGGCAAAAGCTTTTAAATGTTCTGGAGCTTCGGGCTGAGCACAGGTAGTGCTGCATGTCATAGTCATAATTGATTTAATTCATTGTAATTCAACCAATCTTACCAGTGATTTATTATGCATAGTCAGAAGTAAGGTTTTTGATGATGATTTTGGCTGCTGTAAGGGTCGAAAAGGGATTGTAAGGGAAAATGTAGAAGCCAGAAAGGCTTGCACTACTTTGTGCAGGAATAGTATGTCTTGTGTGCCAGAACACTTCTGCTTGTTAGCTTTTTCCCCTAGAACATCCTCATAAGACTTGTAGATTATTTACAGATGTCACCACATTTAGTAGTAACTTTTTAATTTATTGTCTTTGGAAGAGCATGTACTTGCATTGCTCAGGTATCACAACACAACTGCAAATTTGCTTGTTCCATTTTATTCCTTCCTGATGTTTGCTTCTGTATACACATTAATGCTTGCCTGGAAAATATGAGTTGTTTCCTTTTCCAGAAATGAAAATGTGATCAGACCTGAAGATCCTAGGTTTGTGTGCTAATAGATCACTGAATGGTCTCTTCAGCTTCTCTTTCAGAGTGAAGAGAGTAAGTGCAGTTACTGAAATGTCTACACCTTATCAACTGTGTACTCTTTTATTGATGCATATATTGGGCATAGGAATGTTATGAAGCTGGTTTGTCTACCCTGTGTATCTATCTGCTACCTACTGCTATTATACCATCTGTAGTGTGTATTTTTTTTAATGAGCATTTTCTACTTCAAAATTAAATATGTTGAAGAGTAGAAGCCTATCCATTATCACAAGCCTGGGTTGGAATCTGAAGAATTAACTTCAGGTGCAACTTTTCCTCAGTGTATCTTTTGGGCTTGAACAGACCACACAGTTTTTATGCTATCTGTAAAATGAACAGATGAAATTTCATCTCCGAATGGTCACTTTTCTACCAAACACGGACCTGACACTTCTCCAATATTGAGAGCAATTCCTACCAATGCCTGGGAGACTGTAGGGCACGTTCAGCTTTGTTCACAGTGAATTAGCTATGCTGACACAGTTTCTGAAGGACTTGATGAAGATGTGGTTTTTGCTGGTCGGGCTCATCTGACTGGGTTGGTTGATGGTGTAATTATCCTTAGAGTGAAAAGAGCATAAATGGTAGGAAAGTTCAAGGTGTAAAGTGGAATCAGTTTTGGTCTTCTGAATTCTATGGGAGGCTAGGCACAATTCTTAAGCAGGTCTTCAAGTCCTCTAATGGCCTATGTGTGGTGTGTCTGGAGCACCGAAAAACCAATTTCAAAATGTAATGCGTGACCACCTGGGAGTTCTGAACATTTAAACCTTAAATCATGGGAGGCCTGGGGGCAAAGCTGGTTTAAAAGTCAGAGTGAAAATATCCTGTTAGTGTTTGCTATTTCAAAGTGCTGCTATATGGTGAGAATTCGCATCTAGCAGAGTGGTGTTTAACAGCCTGCATTCCCTGGAGAGCTGAGGTGAGAGGGAAGGCAAAATCAGGTTAGGACAGAGTTCCAATGGCAGGGCTGTTCAGTGAAACTTGTTTTTTGCCTCTCATTACTATGTTGCTTTAACTGGATTATATACACCTTTTATGTGATAATTTGGGAATCGAGAACGTAGGAATTCCTAGCATTTTACTTGGTTTTATGTTTCAGATAAATCACATAAACCTCTTTCTTTCTCTCTGTCTATAAAGGGGGACAGTATGTGTTTATGTTATGGTAATGTTGTGGGCATTAGTTGCTCGAAAACTTTAAACACCAAGGAAGCCTTATTATTAACAGATGTCTCTCTAATCCCCATAGGTTGGCAGCACAAAGCTTCTAAGCATTCAGATGAGGAATTCTGGAATCCAGTCAAAGCAAGTTTCTGTAGCTGAGTGTGTGAAAGGGAAGTCTTGCAAGAGAAAAGGAGTTGGGGTAAGAGCAGAGTAGCTAAGCAAGGTTCATTGTAAAGTGCACGTGAAAAAGTAATAGCTGGTAGTGAAAATGGGAGAACAAGAGCAGAATGGAGGGACATAAATGGGGAAAAGGAAATAGCGTCTGTTGTGCTAATGCTGGAAACAATTTGGGCTTCATGTTTCTGTGGAACAGAACAGTTCATCAGAACTACAAATTATATGCAGTTGTTATTTTCTGATTCTGATATTCTGCTTTAAAAAAGTAGATCTCTTGATGAGCTTAGCTGTCTTTCTTGAGCTGGAATAGCTTGTGGGACCATTAACTGAAATGCAAATGAACCTTACATGTCTATTTTCAATTCATGCTTCTTGGAAGAAGTGATACAATTCTTGAAAATACCGTAATGATGTTTCTGTGACATGCAAGCTCTTCATTATATACATAGTATAGCTAATTTGAATCATACCGATAAGCTCAAGGCCTGAAAGTGTAATGTATGCAAGTTGCACTGCATGTGATATTTTTCACTGAATAGTCCTGTGATCTCATGTGAAAACAAAGGTTATTTTTTGAGAGAAGAGAAAAAAGCAAAGGAAGGGGGAGGGGCGAAGTGCTCTTTACTAGGAAGAGACCAAGCTAAATGCAGCAGTTAATGAATATATGTGCAACAGTTCTTCAAACTTCAGCATTTTGTTCTTTTGACTTAGAAGCCTAGCCCCTTTCTAAATATAAATTCGTTCAAAATAAGTTCAGCGAAAACT